CCCGGAGCCACTCTTGCAAATCAATTAAACGCAAAATGGGGAGGGGCTACAATATTGCTGGGAAAGAGGGTCCCAATCCAGACCCCAAGAGGGGTTCTTGGATGTTGTGCAGGAAAGAATTTTGGTGAACCACAGAGCACAGTGAGAGACGCAGGTTTATTTGAAATGACTCCGTTCTAGAGTGGGGCGTGCTCAGAAAGCAGGAGAAGGAGGGCGGGTCCTCTGTTAGTGCCTCTGCTTACAAGAAACTGTAAGGAGCTGCAATCACTCCTGGAATGTGCAGATGCGCTCACTAAAGATAGGGGCTGTGGGTGCCATCAGTGACCGTTCATCCTCCAACCTCAGGCTGCTCACTGACATTATCTCTGAGTAACGTGGCCTGCACTCTCGGGTTATCTGGACAGTCTGCAGGCTTGCTGGGAGATGCCCCATATGGCCATAAATATTCTGTCATTATAATTGGTGGCCAGCTTGAGACGTGGCTATTTTTAGACCATAAGCATTAACCTTATAGGTGCCTTGTGAGTGCCTCCTACTTACTTCAAGATGGAGTCACTCTGGTCATGTTTCACTAAACCAGAGGCCTGGTGAGCAGGGGTTCCTCTGACAGTGGGAACCTCAACGTCGGGCCAGTCGGCAAGAAGTTCTAGAGGCTGGCCCTCGCAGCTGGGGTGGGTGTGTGTGTGTGTGTGTGTGTGTAGGTGTCTCGGGGCTGAGCGCTCACGCTGTGGGATCTGACGCTGTCTCCAGGTACAGTGTTGGAATGGTGTTGGACACCCAGCTGGTGTCCGCTGCAGAACTGACGGCTTGCTTGGTGGCGGGGAGACTTCCACCCCCCACATTTGGCCCCAGCAGTCGTGGGAGTCTTCTGTGTTGATGTCTCCTGTGTGGTGTTGAGTGAGAGACAGGATTAAAGGTTTGAGAGTCTTTTCCAAACAGCCCTCTTCCTAAAGCGGCTTGTTTTCTGAATCAGACGGTACTGTCTTGAAGGGGGCAAACCCACCCACGCTCTCGTCCCACCACTCTTACTGAGCCCCTGCGGTGGCACGGATGGCCCCAGGTGCTGGCTGCGCAGAGAGAACCCCCTGCCCTCACCGCCAACATTCTAGAGGGGAAGACACCCTGCCTGTGCCCCAGTTAAGACCCAGAGGCCTGGACTCCCCCCGGGCCACAGCCTACTGGAGGCTCCAGTCCCCAGAGACAGCTGGGGCATCGCCCCCAAAGCCGTGGAAGCCCCACCCACGGTGCCATCATACCACAGCCAGGACATCTTGTGACACACACAGCCCCAGCCTCAGCCTCCATACACACGCACCACACACACTCATGCAAAACACATACACAGCCACACTGAATGCACCCCTAGATTTGAGATGGGTGTTACAGGTGTCTCTCCGCCCCAGCCCCCTCCTGGCCACGCGGCCACCTGCCGACCCTCGCGTTTCCCCACACCCTCCCCCTACTTCCGTGTGGGGTTCAGAAGCCCCTCCCTGGCGCTCGCCCTGTCACCCAGAAAGGAAACTCACTGTCAACTGGAGAACAGGCCAGTGGCGGAGCCCCAGCGCCCACAAACCCTCGGAGAGGGCCTGGCGGGAGGAAAGGCACGCACCGATGGCAGAGCCCCAGTGCCCTGAGAGAAGCCAGAACCCACAACCTCCCACCTCCCAACCCTTGCCGGTCTCCCCACCTCCGCCTGGGGGATGGCCAAGACACAGCCCAGTCTGGAGCGGGGAGCAGGGACAAGATGACCTCAGGAAGCCCAGGCTACAAGGGTGCCTGCTTCTTCCCCTCCCCCGCTCCATTCCGCAGGCGAGACCCCCAACACTGCTCCCCGACACTCTCCGAGGCACCCCTCCTCCGTGCTCACACCCAAAACACGTCTGCTCACCCGTGGGCCTCCCACTCCGATCACAACGAGGACTGGCCACAAGTCCAGGTGTCAGTGACCTTCACCCCGACCTGGTCCCTGTCCGGCCTCGCCAGGTCAGCACCCGCCTCGCGCACAGCAGGGCCGGGTGGAAGGAGGCCGGGCCTGGCCGTGGCTCAGGCGCCACCTCGCTGGGGGAAACTGGGGGGTGGTCTCAGCCCCCTTCTGGTCCTCAGCTCCCCATCTATCCCAAGAAGCTGGGGCAGGCCTGGGCGGCGAGGGGACCCCCACCGCTGGCTCGCCGACTCCGCCCCCCGGAGGCCCCTCCCGCGCCCCGCCCCTGCCCCCGCCCCGGGGCCGCGCGGGCTGCCTGGGAGTCTGCGGTCCAGCAGCGGTCCAGAGCGCGCGAGGTTCGGGGAGCTCGGCGAGGCTGCTGGTACCTGCGTCCGCCCGGCGGTGAGTCCGCGGGGCCGCGACCGGGACGCCCCCGCCACCTGCGCGCACGCGCTCAGACCCGGCGGCCTCGGCTGCGGTGCACGCGGCCCCGGCCCAGCCACGCGCGGCGGAAGGCGCCCTGCGGGGGCCGGGGCTGGAGACGGTGGGAGAGAGCAAGAGGGGCGCACGGGGAGGCGCAGGAGAGGGGTTGGGGTTGCCGGTGGGTTGGTCCCGCGAGAGCTGAGCCTCTCCTCCCATCCCCCCCCAGGCCTCCCCGAATGTTCCCAAAGATCTGGGGAGGGAGCGGGCGGAGACTGCCGCCAGGAGCCTCCCGGCCGGCCCAGGGCTGCGCAGCCACTGGAGCCCATCACCCAACTCCAGACGCTCCTGGCTCCCCAGCGTGGGCCGGGAGTGACAGCTTTGCTGACTAGGGGAGGGGGCACGGGACCTTGCAGAGCTCCTGGCCGGAAAGGGAGGATTGACCGCTCCCCCGCGTATCACCCCGGAGCACTGGAACCCGCCCCCGCTTCTTGTTCTGGCACTGGTGGTGCTTGCGGTGAGGTCCAAGGAGCCCAGCCTCCCGGAGTGGACCGCCGGGCCGCTCCCCATTCCCACAGGAGAGGCTCCCGCCTCTTGCTGGCTGGGCAGCCCCTAGATACCTGGCTCCCAGGGGCCAGCTTCCCTGAGCCTGGGGACGAGCCTGCAGCCTGGACCCCACGGGCGCCCCCTACGGCCTGCCGGCTCCCTCTGGGCTCCACAGCCCACCCGGCCTTCCTAATTGCCTTCTGCTCCCACCGGTGCCTTAGCTCAGCCTGGTGGCCCGGCGGGTTGGGTGCCAACCAGTGGGCAGATGGCGGCACCAACTGGACCTGTTTGTGGCCCTGTATGCCAGGACTTCCTCAGAGACAGGTCAGGGATCCCCACACCAGAACCTCACTTTTCGGGGGTGGGGGGATAAGGAATTGGAGATCCTTCCTCCTCGGGTTCCTCCCTGGAGGCGGGGACAGGCCCCAGCTGGACTTGGCACTGGTTTTGGCCATCTGGGGCTCCCACTCCCAACCCCAGGATGTCAGCCCAGGTCTCAGGGTCCTGGCCTGCTGCTCTCCCCTTAGGGCCTCTGCAGGCCCCTCTCCAGATCTTTTCTCTGAGGCATCCTCACCCCCCAGTGCCCAGCACTAGCTCCCCAGGCCCGGGATGTCCCTCCCCCTCCTCTGCCCACGGCTGTCCCTGGCAGAAGGCAGCAGCCTCCCCCTCCAACACCATGCACTTACAAAATAGAGAATCACGACCCCAGCAGGGCGTGTTCCAGATTCTTTCTCCAACAGTGCCATGGGCCCCTGCTCAACAGAGGGTCCTGTGCAGAGGCCAAGGAGCAGTACATGGACCCATCTGGCCCCTTCCTGCTGGTGGGACCGGTGGCACGCAGCCTGGTCTCTTGGAGCCCATTTCCCAGCCACAGAATGGGGAGTAGCAGATACTTAGTGGGCTGCTGTCCTCAGAACTGAGTAACATCAGGAATGGGGAGTGCTTTCCCCTGGCCATGTCCCACGCGGCCCCCGGTCTCCATGTCAGGAGAGATGCCTGGGCTCAAGACACTGAGCTGTCCCAAGGAAAGTTCTAGATATAGATTAGCTAATATGCACAGACAGACACACATATAAATGTGTATATAGATCTCTCTTTTTTTTGAGACGGTCTCACTCTGTTGCCCAGGCTGCAGTGCAGTGGCATGATCACGGTTCACTGCAGCCTTGAACTCCCTGGCTCAAGAGATCCTCCCACCTCAGCCTCCCAAGTAGCTGACCACAGGCACGTACCACGCCCAGCTAATTTTTGTATTTTTTATAGAAACAGGAGGTCTCACTCTGTTGCCCAGGCTGGTCTCAAACCCCTGGCTCATGTGATCCTCTTGCCTTGGCCTCACATAGCGTGGAGATTACAGGCGTGAGCCACCGTACCAGCCCCAGACTAGCTCATAGTATTACTGGTCACCATTCCCCACCCCAGGACTACTGGCAGAGGCCACTGACTCTGCTTCCTTTTCTGTGGTTCTGAGAAGGCTGGTGAGTTTCCTCCTCTTGACTGCACAGGCCCCATGCCAGGTTTCAGGAGGGGTATAGCCTAGAGCATGCCTGCACTGAGTGAGGGGCAGGTCGGGAGAGAAGCAGGAAGTTCTTGTGTGCTGGCAGGTCCCTGCCCCTCTTTGCTGTCTGTGTCCTCATCTGCAAAGTGGGGGTGCTTGGTCCTGGGGAGGAGCGAGGCACCACCCGCGCCCCTAACCACGGTGTCTCTCCGGAGCAGGACGGCTGCTCTGGTTTGTGACTTCCGGACAGGACGGCCATCCTCTCCAGAATGAAGATCTTTCTTGCCGGTGCTGCTGGCTGCGCTTCTGGGTGTGGAGCGAGGTGAGGTGCCCTCGGGGACCCCAGAACTTTGTCCGGCTGTGCCCTGCTCGACTCCCAGGGGTCCTTCCAGGCCGCTCCAGCAGAGGGCTCCCCCGGCCTGGCCACACTGTCCACTGTGTGTTTGGGTGCCACTTGAGCTGCTCGACGGCCAGGGTAGGGTGTCACTGTCTTCGTTCTGCCTCCACCCAAGGGCTGCTATACGGTAATTTCTCAGTAAATGTCCACTGGGGTCAGGCCTGGAGGGACACTGGAGGTTTCCCTGAGACAGGTGTGTCCTCCTTCCACAGCCAGCTCGTGATGTGCTTCTCCTGCCTGAACCAGAAGAGCAATCTGTACTGCCTGAAGCCGACCATCTGCTCCGACCAGGACAACTACTGCGTGACCGTGTCTACTAGTGCTGGCATTGGTGAGTGCCAGGCCTCAGACCACGCCCTCCTCCCCTGGCCGTCTCCCTGGCCCAGGCCGGGGCTCAGCAGAGGCCATTGCTGTCTGCCTGCAGCCGTCTGCCTCTCCCCTGACAGCCTCATTTCCCATGCAGGGAATCTCGTGACATTTGGCCACAGCCTGAGCAAGACCTGTTCCCCGGCCTGCCCCCCTCCCAGAAGGCATCAATGTTGGTGTGGCTTCATGGGCATCAGCTGCTGCCAGAGCTTCCTGTGCAATTTCAGTGCAGCCGACGGCGGGGCTGCGGGCAAGCGCTACCCTGCTGGGCGCCGGGCTGCTGCTGAGCCTGCTGCCGGCCCTGCTGCGGTTCGGCCCCTGACCGCCCAGACCCTGTCCCCCGATCCCCCAGCTCAGGAAGGAAAGCCCCAGCCCTTTCTGGATCCCACAGGGTATGGGAGCCCCTGACTTCTCACGTGCCTGATCTGTGCCCTTGGTCCCAGGTCAGGGCCCACCCCCTGCACCTCCACCTGCCCCAGCCCCTGCCGCTGCCCCAAGTGGGGCCAGCTGCCCTTACTTCTGGGGTCGATGATGTGACCTTCCTTGGGGACTGCGGAAGAGACGAGGGTTCCCTGGAGTCTTAGGGTCCTTCATCAGGACCAAGTCCCATGGACACGCTGACAGCCCCCAGGGAGGCTGTGTCAGTAGGGATGTGTGCCTAGCTGTGTACGTGGGTGTGCAGTGCATGTGGGAGCACGTGGCGGCTTCTGGGGGCGGTGTTTGGGGAGGGAGGGTGCCGGCAGCCTGGAGAGCCTCAGTCTCCTGTAGCCCCTGCCCTGGCACAGCCGCATGCCGTCAAGGGCAGCCTTTGGGAGCTGGGATTTCTGCCGCTTCCAGGTCTAGGCCCCGCCCCAAATCCAGCCAGTCCTGCCCCAGCCCACCCCTACATTGGAGCCCTCCTGCTGCTGTGGTGCCTCAAATAAATACAGATGTCCCCCAGCTTCCTGCTCTGAGTATGGCTGCCCCATGGGGGAAAAGGCAGAGCACCCCAGGTTTGGAGCGTTCTGGGGTCTTCTGTGGGTACGGCCCGGCGGGTGGTCAGAGAGGAGGAGTCGTCCCCTGAGCCATAGCCAGCAGCTTGCCTGGCCTCCGAGGGAGCCCCTCGCCAGCACTCTGCCCTTCTCCTGCCCCCAGGCTCAGCAGGTCGAGTGAGTTCGGCCTCCCACAGCAGGAGGAGGTCGGGGGGCATGGAGGAAAGAAAGCAGGTGCCAGAAGGAGCACGCTCAGGCTGGGCAGCACCCAGGGCTCTCTAGGACTTGGGAATGGAGGGTGTCTGTCTGGACCCGCTGCTGCAGAGGGCACAAAGCTGGGCTGGGCAGGACAGACAGTCCGGAATTCAGTGAGTGGCCTTTGAGAGGAGCAGGGGGCTCCCACGCAAAAGCTCGGGGCAGCAACCCTGACCCATCCCATGCCTGGGACTGCAGCGCTGCCCCGCTTCCCCCTGGCAAGCAGGTGGCGGCCTCCTGACAGAGGAACCCGGCCCAGGCCACCATCTGCAGGCAGGTGCTGTGCACAGCCCAGAGGGCTCTTTGGGCTGGAGAGAGAAAAACAAGCAGACACGCAATGGAGGTGTGTGTGTTTGTTTATCTGGAACAACGGGAGGAAACGGACCAGGGTCTCGGCCACTCGGCGCCCACCCTGGATTTCCCTGGCTGCCCAGAAACTGTGCTGTGTGTGTCAAGATTCCAGGGGCACCGTCCAGCAGGAGGGGCCGGTGGTCACCATGGAAGCCCCAAGATTCCCACCCCTGGCAGCTGATATGAATAGCCGGGTCCTCCCAGGTCCCTGAGGTCAAGGCAGGTCAACGACCTGTGTCCTCCTCCTGTGTCCCTGAGGTAGTGATTCCTGTCTGAAACACACGAATCATTACTGCCACCCAAGAAGGGCCCGTTGTAACTGAGCAAGAGGACCTGGAAGGGGTCACCGGGAGGAGGGTCCTGCCGCCAATCACCACTCCCTGTGGACGGACCCTGCAGAGACTGAGCTTGAGATTCTGTGGGGAGTTTGGATTTGCTGAGTGGGTTGCCTCTAGCATTGAGAAATGCAAGCAGAGAACAGAGGGTGGAAACCAGATGGTCCAGAAGCCTGGGCACGGTAGCCAGGACAGAGATCCCGGCATTCGGGTCCCAGTGTGCAGTGCATTCACTGCATTGTTCACTCGGAATCACAGGTGGCTTTGCTGGAGGGACAGACCAGTTGATCATAGTGGAGCTAGTGAGAGGAAGCTGGATCTGACTCCAGGGACACAGGAACATGGTGGGCGCTGGGCGATGATAGAATTTCTAACAAATGCTTGGTTTCTGCTAAAGCTAATTTTCACTTCCATCTCTGGCATCTCCTCCACTTCCCAGGTGAGCTCACTGGTTTCTAAGTCCCGCAACCACACTGAGACGAGGGCGCAGTCATCCCCTCGTTTCCCCAGGGGAGACAGTCTCAGAGTGGAAGCTGCTTGTCCTCCTGGGATCTGGAACTCGGGGCCCAGCTCTCCCTCTGCTCTGGGTTTAGGGCTGGGGTCAGAGGCAGCCCTGACCTCCTGCGGGTAGCAGAGAGAGTGGTTCCGCCGGGTTCCTGCCGCCCCGCCCTCCGGAGGCGGGAGGCCCCCCAAGGACAGGTGGTTTCCAGGAGCCGAGGGAGGGAGTGGAGTCCGGGAGCAGAGGGAGGGAGCCCGGGTTGTGTCCTGGGGCTGGAGCAGAGAAGGGAGGAGCCCAGCGCGCTGAGTTTCAATTTCCTGAAGCCTGAGGGAGGGAGAGGAAGGGAACCTCACCTCAGGGCTCTGGACCGGAGCCTCCCGCCCAGGGCCCACCACACCCTGCTAGGAGCTGGGATTTCCCAGTCTCCACGTCGACCCGAACTGGGCCCCCTCCTCTCCACAGCCCATCCAGCCCCACTTTCCCGCTTCCCGGCATCTGCCCATGGATGAGCCTCTGGAGGATGGGGAGCCCGCCCCAGCGCTGCGCCTCACCCACCCCGCACCGCTCAGCCCCTGTGGGGACTTCCTGCAGTGAGGCCCAGGCAGAACCCTGCGCTGCCTCCCCCATCAACAGCCTCTGCCCCCTTGACACCCCCGCCCTCTGCGGTGCCTTGCAGGAGTCACCAGCCTGTGGGCCCGGGACCGTTTCACACATCCGGCAGCCACAGCTGGCCTGGGCCCTTAGTGCCTCCACCCCTCCGCCCCCTCTGTCAGCCCCCAACAAGTCTTCCTGGGTGGCCCCAGCCCTGAGTGCAAGACCCTCCGGGCTGCTTCTGGACCTCGGGCTGGGGCTGAGCCTGATCCTGGCTGGAAATGAGCACAGGGCTGGGCCACCTGGGGAAGGCCCTCCAGTCTCTGAACCCCACTTGGGGAATTTGCTGGGACCCCCTTGAAGGCCACAGACAGACCCCAAGGGTTAATAAGGGAACAAAGTCCTTGGGTTGAACACGTGCATTTACTATCTGGGCCAGTGGGCATCTAGGCTGCTGGGTGAGGGGGGTCTCTGGGCTGCTGGGCGGCTAGGCGAGGGCATCAGGGCAGGAGCTGAGGGCTGCACAGGGCAACCGCCCTGCGCTCCTATTTACCCACCAGGGGCAGTGCCAGGGTGGGCTGGGCTCACAGCAGGGCCCAAAGAAGAGGCCCAGGCTGAGCAGGAGCTCCCTGACAGCCAGGCCCCAAAGGCCGCGCCGCGCTGTGGCTGCCTTGTTACAGAAGCTCTTTTCACAGCAGGTCATGTCCAGCTTCTCAGTCTTCAAGTCAATCAGTCCATCCTCAGTTTCTATGGGGTAAGACCCTCCATGGACCACAGGATGGGTGAGGTTCATAATCTGGGCACGGGGTGGGGGCACAGCTCTTGCTAGCGTAGCTGAATTTCTGCCCTGTGGGCGAGAGAGGAGGGCGGCTGGCACAGGAGGCCCCACTCGACCCCCTCGGACCTGCCCCAGGACCGCCCCCTTCAGGGAACCTTGAAGCCAGTGGTGACACGGAGACAAGCAGAAGAGAACGGGGGGCGGCCCCAGGCTCCATGCCAAGTCTGTGATCCGTTAGATGGAGGTCCCTGAGCTCTGTCCCCAGATCCAAGCTTCTACCAGGCCAGGGGGCTCAAGGCAGAGCCCCGGGATGCTGCCTGGAGAGTGCCCCTGCCCACCCCTTACCTGCTTACAGACGCCGGTCCCACCCGGACTCACCATTGGTAGTGCCAGTGACCACAGAGGAGGGGCAGCTTTGAGCCTGCATGGGGTCGGAGACGGGTGGCACAGGCTGGGGTCCAAGACACTGTAGCACTGGAAGCACTCAAGGCCCTGACTCGGGATGGGGCGGGGAGGGTGCAGGTCAGGGTCCCAGGCTGAAGGGTGGGTTCCAGTCCCTCTCACCAGCACAGGCAGCAGGCCTGGGCAGCACACAGGTAGGCTCAGGTGCCCTTGGCTACTCAGAATTGTGGGCAGGGTCCTGCTGGCATCTGGAGCCCCCAGCATCGAGAGGGTCTCACTCCCACCTTCAGGCCTCCTTCCCATCCTCCACCCTCAGCCCCCACTTACAGGGCTTCACCCACAGCTGCGCCAGCAGCAGCAGGGGCCGGTGACCTTCATGGTCTTGGGTGTGGGTGCATTGAGGGCAGGTGTGGCACAGAGGCTCCGAGCCTGGAAAGACTAGGGAGGCCTTGCACCCCCGAGCCTGGGAACCTCTGCCCCACGTCTGGTTTATGAGGAGGAACCCAGATTGCTTGTGTAATATGCACACAGCCGATGGCCTCACCCCATCATCTCGTAGTACGGGAACTGAGGGGTAGAAACCCTTCCGTCCTGACCTGGCTGCTCTGGAAGGCAGACGTGACCTCGAGCAAGACCACCCCCCCATCCCCCCACCCCTTCTCTGCCTGGGGCCTCCCAGAGCTCAGGGGTGTGAGCAGAACAGACCCGGAAGGAGGAGGGGCTGCCGTGAGGAGAGAAGCAAGAGGGGTGTCCCTGGGGTGGGAGGTTGCCTTAGAAGGAGAATTGTGACTCAATAGAGAGGAGGGTCCTGGATAGGGCCCTGAGTTCAGTTTCAGTTTCCTGGTGCATCAGGAGCAAGCTTCTTCCTGGTTGTCAGAGCAAGAGAGAAAAGCAGCCGTCAGACTCAGGTCATCCCACTCAGGATGAGGGTCTCTGGCTGAGCTCACCACTGGCAGGCCCCTGTGCAGACAGAGCCTGGGAGGGGCCAGCGGGGCAACAAGCTCTGACACTGAGACCCCAGGGCAGGCACCCCTTGTTTTCTGTGCAGGGAGCAGAGGCCCCTGTAATGGGTGGGGGCGACATGGGGGCTCCCTCGGTGGGGGGGGGGGTCCTGGCCACTCCTGGAACCACCCCTGTCCCTCCCAGTCAGTGCCCCCTGCCACCCCCATCACACCCACACCCGAACTTGTTCTTCAGGGGGAATCAGAAGACACAGGAAATGGGCCAGGGGTGACTGGCAGACTCCGCCCCCGCACCCCCCACCAGGTGCTGGGCAGAAGGAGGGAGAGGGCTTCCTGGACTGCGGGACAGCCCTTGATGAAGACAGATAAAGGCAGCACACCCGCATAAGAATGGGTCGCCTTTCAGGTGGGAGGTCCCCTCTAAAATCAGAATCCACCCCTGTGCCCTCAGGGGTCTCTGCTTGGAGACTCCATGGCATCTGAGAGGATGAGCCAGGTGAGGTGGGGGTGGCTCCTGAGAGCGGGAGGACAGGACAGAGCTGGAGGCAGCAGGCACAAAAGACCCCAGTGGCTCCGGGCAGCTGTGGGCCCAAGAGGCCTGACTGTCCCGCCAAGCAGTGCACCAGAGCACAGGTCAGACCTGAAGGGGCAGCGCCAGCAGGGCCCATGGTCCGCGGGTCACTCTGCTGGCCCCGCAGTCACACTGCTCGGGTCCCACGGCCTGATGATGGCTGAGCCAGACATCATAACACCAAGCAATGGAGAAGTTAGAATATTGCTAGGGATACTGACTTGCTGTATTTTTTGAATCTTAAATATATGTTTTAATCTGACCGTCCATAAGCAGTGCATGTTACATGCCAGTCAGAGCACAAGCATCCCCGCGAGGTGTGCACTCTGTGTGTCTATGGATGATGAAAGCATGGCTTTCACACAGCAAATCATCCTCACTTCATGTGATGCCTTCTACTTTATTTGAAAAGTATCGATTGTGTCCCACTCAATGGATTTTATACCCTCTATGCACATGGTCCCCAGTTTATTGGCAGGGGGATTATTTGGTGTTTTGTTTGTTTTTGTTTTTGAGATGGAGTCGTGCTCTTGTCACCCAGGCTGGAGTGCAGTGGCACGATCTCGGCTCACCGCAACCTCCAGCTCCCGGGTTCCAGAATTCTCCTGCCTCAGCTCCCCGAGTAACTGGGATTACAGGTGCGTGCCACCATGCCTGGCTAGTTTTTGTATTTCTAGTAGAGATGGGATTTCACCATGTTAGTCAGGCTGGTCTCGAACTCCTGACCTCAAGTGATTTGCCTGCCTCAGCTTCCCAAAGTGCTGGGATTACAGGCATGAGCCACCACGCCTGGCCTGTTTTGTTTTTTGAGATAGGGTCTCCCTCTGTCGCCCAGGCTAGAGTGCAGTGGTACAATCACAGCTCATTGCAGCCTCAACCTCCTTCCCAACCTCAGCCTGCAGGGGAGGGGAGGGAGAGGAAGGGAAGGGAAAGGAAGGAAGCCTCATCTCAGGGCTCTGAACCTGAGCCTCCCGCCGGGGATTTCCCAGTCTGCACGCCAGCCCGGAACTGGGCACCCTCCTCTCTGCAGCCCCATCCAGCCCCTGCTTCCCAGCATCTGCCTGCAAATGAGCCTCCGGAGGATGGGCAGCAGGTCCTGGCACTGCCCCTCACCAGCCCCCCACCACTCTGCCCCTGTGGGGACCTCGGGAGGTAAGGCCCAGGCAGGACCCTGTGCCGCCTTCCCCATCCACAGCCTCTGCCCCCTTGACGCCCTTGTTACAGAGGCTCTTTTCACAGCAGGTCATGTCCAGCTTCTCAGTCTTCAAGTCAATCAGTCCATGCTCAGTTTCTGTGGGGTAAGACCTGCCAGGGACCACAGGATGGGTGAGGTTCATAATCTGGACATAGGGCCACAGCCCTTGCTAGTATAGCTGAACTTCTGCCCTGTGGGTGAAAGAGGAGGGCGTCTGGCACAGGAAGCCCCACCCAACCCCCTCGGACCCTCCCTAGGGCCACCCCCTTCAGGGAACCTTGAAGCCAGTGTGGACACGGAGACAACCAGGAGACAAGCAGAAGAGAACGGGCCTCGGCCCCCAGACCCACGCCAAGTCTGCAGTCCTCCCAGGCTCAAGCAATCCTCCTGCCTCAGCTTCCAAGTAGCTGGGACCACAGGCACCGCCACTACACCCAGCTATTTTTTTAAAAAAATTTTTATAGATATGGGATCTCACTGTGTTGCCCAGGCTGATCTTGAACTCTTGGGCTCAAGTGATCCCCCTGCCTCAGCCTCCCAAAATGCTGGAATTATAAGTGTGAGCCACTGCACCCGGCCTGGTCCACAATTTAAAAACACACAGCCCACCATTGCCTCTCCAGAAAGCACCCAGGTCCCTTTGGGAGAACCAGCCTCCTCCATGGGGAAAACTTGGGACCTGCCTTCCACCTGGGGAGCAGAGGGATCTTGGAAAATTCCTTCTGACGGACCTTCCCCTCAGTGCCCGATCCATACTCAAAAGGAGAAAAAGTAAGAAATATACAAGATAGGCAGATACACCGTGACAGTTCCCCAAATAGCTGAGCGATTAGCACAGAGGTGATATTGGAAGACTTAATAGCTGAGACATTTTCCAGAACTGATAAAGTGGATCCAGCCACAGATCAGGCAGCCCAGAAAATTTCAGGCAGCGTCAACAAATAACCCCACATTGCACCTGTGAAAATGCAGAAGCCCAAAGAAAAAAAGTCCTGTACACGGCCAGAGAAAAAATCAGCCACCAGGGGGCAGTAGTGAGAAGGACAACTATGGAAGCCCGGGAGAGATGATAGCCCTGAATTCACAGGCAACAAGAGCATTGGAGAAAGACTTTGTCAGACAGGACGCCAAAGGTTATCACCAACATACTTCCAACATACTTTGTTACTAAAAGAATATTTATTTTATTTATTTTATTTTATTTTTATTTATTTATTTATTTTAACAGGATCTCACTTTGTTGCCCAAGCTGGAGTGCAGTGGTGGGAACACAGCTTATTGTAGCCTTGACCAGGCTCAAGCGATCCTCCTGCCTCTGCCCCGAAGTAGCTGGGATGACAGGTGTACACCACCATGCCCAGCTAATTTTGTATTTTGTAGAGGCAGGGTTCGCCATTTTGCCCCAGCTGGTCTCGAAACTCCCGTGCTCAAGGAATACAGGTGTGAGCCACAGCACCAGCCAAGAACGTCTTTTAAAAAGCGATCTTGCGGCGGGCGCGGTGGCTCAAGCCTGTAATCCCAGCACTTTGGGAGGCCGAGACGGGTGGATCACGAGGTCAGGAGATCGAGACCATCCTGGATAACACGGTGAAACCCCGTCTCTACTAAGAAATACAAAAAACTAGCCGGGCGAGGTGGCCGGGCGCCTTAGTCCAGCTACTCGGGAGGCTGAGGCCGGAGAATGGGTGAACCCGGGAGGCGGAGCTCTGCAGTGAGCTGAGATCCGGCCACTGCACTCCAGCCTGGGCTACAGAGCGAGACTCCGTCTCAAAAAAAAAAAAAATAAAATAAAATAAAAAATAAAAAAAAAAAAAAATAAAAAGCGATCTTCCTGGGAACGGTGGCTCATGCCTGTAATCCCAGCACTTTGGAGGGCCAAGGCAGGTGGATCACAATCAGGAGTTCAAGAACCAGCCTGGCCAAGATGGTGAAACCCATCTCCACTAAAATTACTAAAAATTAGCCAGGTGTAGTGGTGGGCTCCTGTAATCCCAGCTACTCGGGAAGCTGAGTGGGGAGAATTGCCTTGAACCTGCAGGCAGAGGCTGCAGTGAGCCGAGATTGCGCCCAGTGCACCCCCACCTGGCAACAGAGCAAGACCCCATCTCAAACCAAAAAAAAAAAAAATTTCAATTTAAAATTTAGAAATAAATTTTAAAATTAATAAATAGAAAGGTAAACCGACATAGAAAACTGGACACAGCGATTCCAGAACACACATCTTTTTCAAGTACACACAAACATTCACAACTATCGATCACATAATGAGCCATGAAAAAGTTTCCACAAATTAACTGAAATCATACAGAGTGGCTTCTCTAATTACACTTCAATTAGACCAGAAATTATTACCCAAAACGAGAAAATCCTCCTCTGTTTGGAAATGAACAAGTATATTTATAAATAACCCATATGTCACAGAAGAAATCAAAATGAAAATAGGATTTCCCTCTGTTGCCGAATGCAACAGGAATGCAGTGGGTACAATCAAAGCTCACTGCAGCCCTGACCTCCTGGGCTCAAGTGGTCCTCCTGCCTCAATCTCCTAAGTAGCTGAGACCACAGGCACACACCACATCTTGCTAGTTATTTATTTATTTATTTATTTATTTGAGACGGAGCTTTGCTCTTGTTGCTCAGGCTAGAGTGTAGTGGCACGATCTCAGCTCTGCAACCTCTACCTCTAGGTTCAAGCAATTCTCCTGTCTCAGCCTCCCAAGTAGCTGGGATGACAGGCATGCACTACCACACCTGGCTAATTTTTGTATTTTTAGTAGAGACGAGGTTCCGCTACGTTGGCCATGGTTGGGCTCGAACTCCTGACCTCAGGTGATCCGCCTTCCTCAGCCTCCCAAAGTGCTGGGATTGCAGGCATGAGCCACCACGCCCGGCCATAACTGCATGCTTTGAGAGAACTGTATCCACTGTTAGGTCTCAGAACCCAATACCTCAAATTATGGCACTTTGACATGCTGAAGAAACTTCAAGAACTTTCTGTTCTCCCCACAACCCACAGACTCCCAAAGTCAGGATGGAGTTCTCTAAACTTCCTTTGTCTGCCTGAAGTCTGAACCACCAAGAACAATTGTATTTTCTTCCCCCTACCCCAAGACAAAGAATGTCACCATATCTGAACAGACCCTTTCAAAAGATAATAATGTCTGTCCCTCAGGCCCATCCACATTCCAAAGAGAACTGTCTACAAGTTCGTCTCTGCTCCCTGCTCCACTGCCCTCAGAATTCCTCTTCTCTCCCCATGGCCTGTGTGGCCAGGGTGGTCCCTCAGCGTCTGAACCCCGCTGCAGGGTGGGGGATATCACTCTGTGTTTTTCCCTGTGAACACGTTAATAAACCTGTGTGCCTTTTCTCCAGTTAATCTGCCTTTTCTGAGCTGAGTTTTCATGGAAATGTCATGGTTAAAAGGGAAGATTTCCCATTGGCCCTTACCTTCCTACATTAAAAAAACATTCAGGCTAGGCACAGGGACTCATGCCTGTAATACCAGCACTTTGGGAGGCCAACGCCGGAGGTCAGGAGTTGGAAACCAGCCTCTACCATAGCGAAACCCTGTCTCTACTAAAAATACAAAAATTAGCCGAGCGTAGTGGCACACACCTGTAATCCCAGCTACTTGGGAGGCTGAGACAGGAGAATCGCTGGAACCCGGGAGGCGGAGGTTGCAGTGAGCCAAGATCGTGCCATTGCACTCCAGCCTGGGTGATAGAGCGAGACTCCATCTCAAAAAAAAAGATTCAACATCGATGAATGAAGCATTCATCACAGGAAGTTACAGAAAGAACAGCAAATGGAATCCAAAAAAAAAAAAAAAAAAAACAGAAGAAAGAAACTAATAAAAGTGACATCACAAATTAATAATACATAAATTATGTATACATTAGATAGGATTCATAAGTTAGTTATTTCTTTGGGTAAACTAAAAACTTGGATAACTCTTGCTTTTTTTTTTTTTTTTTTTTAGGCAGGGTCTCACTCTGTTGCCTGAGCTGGAGTGCAGTAGTGCAGTCTCAGCTGACTGCAAGCTCTGCCTCCCAGGTTCAAGCAATTCTTGTGTTTCAGCCTCCCAAGTAGCTGGGATTACAGGCTTGGTGCAACCATGCCCAGCTAATATTTGTATTTTTTGTGGAGATGAGGTTTCACCATGTTGGCCAGGCTGGTCTCAAACTCCTGACCTCAAATGATCCACCTGCCTCAACCTCCCAAAGTGCTGGGATTACAGGTGTGAGCCACTGTGCCCAGCCTTAAAAATGTGGATAATTCTTGTGAGAGACCCGTCAGAAAAAGAAGAGGAGAAAAACAGCCATAATAGCAACGGGAAAAAAAATCAGGATCAACAGAGGCTTCAGCCAGGCGCAGTGGCTCACGCCTGTAATCCCAACACTTTGGGAAGCCCAGGCAGGTGGATCCCTTGAGCCCAAGGGAGAAGGAGCAAAGGGGGAAGCACCACACACTTTCAAACCATCAGATCTCCTGAGAACTCACTCACTATCCCCAGAACAGCAAGGGGGAAATCTGACCCCATGATCGAATCACCTCCCACCAGGCCCCTCCACCTATTCCACATGAGATCTGGGGGGCCGGAGGGGACACAAATCCAAACCATATCAGCCTGTAACTTCTTTCTCCCTGAAGGGTGTAAAATCGAGCTGTACCCCGGCCATCTTGGGCACGTGTTCTCAGGACCTCCTGAGTCTCTGTCACAGGCCACGGTCCTCACATTTGGCTCAGAATAAACCTCTTCAAATATTTTAGAGTTTGGTTTTCTTTCATCAACACATCCCTCCTGTAAAACACAGAGTAAGCGGAGAGAACGGCTCACACCTGTCATCTCGACACTTTGGGAGACCAAGGTGGGAGGATCATTTGAGGCCAGGAGTTCAAGAGACCAGCTTGGCCAACAAAGCAAGACCTCATCTCTAAAAAAAAAAAAATAAGTAAATAAAAATAAATGCATAGTGACTTCACTCTTTTCTCTCAGAGCCTCTAATTGTCACTTTTGTGAGTTTCTTCACGGTCTCTTGAACGGTACTCAGGGTGTGAAGAGGTACAGTCGGGAAGAATGGGGCCTCTAACGGGGGTTAAGAGCATCATTCCGGGAGGCATGAGGGAGGCAGCGGAAGAGGGGCTGTGGTGTGGCCTTCGCACACTGCAAGTCCTGGAGGTCAGCAGAGGCAGGACGTCCAGACAGTGGATGCATGAGTGGAGAAGCCTTCAGCCGCCCTGACTCCACCTAGGAGGTGCCCCAAGGCAGAACCAGCAGCTGAGCCTGGCCAGCCCCGGCAGCCATGAGAGACAGTAAGTTTTGGGGTGACCAACGGGGAGCCCCAGCAGGAGCCCAGCAGGAGAGAGAAGCTAGGTATTGATCCTGCTGCTGGCCCCTCCTGCAGTCCGCAGGACTGTCCACAGCCCTCGCTCCTCTTAAGCAGCTCACCTGCCTTGGAGGCCCCTCTCCTCCTGGCCCCTCCTTTTGGGCCTGGGTTGGGGGTGGCAGGGGTCCTGTCACTGCACCCGGAGGGGGATACGGCGCAGGATTGTTTCTGGGCAGCCCACCCCTGTAAGAGGGCCTGGGGCTGGGACCAGTAGCTCACACCTGTAATTCAGCACTTTGGGAGGCTGAGGCAGGAGGATCGATTGAGCCCCGGAGTTCGAGAGCAGCCTGGGTAACACAGAGAGACCCCACTTCTACTTGAGAGACAGAGAGAGAGAGAGGGACGGAGGGAGGGAGGGAGAGGCTCTTGGTAAACGCTCCTATTTTGTAAACTCTCTTCCTATTTTGTGATTAGGATGCCCCATCAGTTGCTGCCACCACTTGCTGGAGACGCTGCATGACCCTGACTCCTCTCAAAAGGTGAAAGGCTCAATGGCACCCCAGACGCCCCCTCAGGCAGAGGATAAACTCCCCGTCCCACCACCTTCCTGGCCTCCGTGAGAGTGGCGTGCGGGCTGACCCTGGAGGAAGAGGGACGTTCGAACGGGGTGGGCGGCCTTCTACTGCTAGGCTGGGCTCTGGGGTGGGTGGAGACTGGCCGCCACAGGCCATCAGCCTTCAGGGTTCTGGAAGCAGGGAGGGCAGAGGCTGGCCCAGCCTATGGGAGACCCCGCAGAGGCGTGGCCTCCGGGCTAATCCTGCCCCAACTCTCCCAGGGCGGGATTTCTTTTCTTTTTTCCTTTAATCTCTTTATCTACAGGCTCCAAGGCTTAATGAGCTCCAGATGTCTCGGCATGCCAGGAGAGGCTTGGGATCCCCTGCCAAATACCAGGGAGATAAGAACGCACCAGATGGGCACAAACCAGAGCTGGTGACCCCAGTTCCCTTTAAGTCAGTGACATGTCATTACAAGGCGGAAGTCCCCGCCCGGGAGAACAGTCCCCAGGGCTTGCTAAGCATGCGTGGTATCAAGAGGCGCACGGAGGTGCTCCTGCAGCCTCCTCCCCGCATGGGACTCCTCACAACCCCCGGCCTCAGCCTCCCCCACAGGGCAGGGGCTCACTCTCACCCACTCTGGGCCAGGAACGCAGCCTTTCGTCCAATTGGGTGCTCTTTCTTTGCGACTGATACAAAGTGGGGACAAACGCCGCTTCCAGTGATGCCCGGGCCCCAGGAGGCTGGGGGAGAAGCGCCCGCTGCCCGGCCTTCAACCTGAGATGCCTCCAACACTTCCCAGCCCAGACCCCCGCAGCTGTGAGGCGAGGCGGAGAGGGGCTGCCTGCGGGGAGGGGGCTGCCTGCGGGGAGGGGCTGCCTGCGGGGAGGGGCTGCGTGCGGGGAGGGGCTGCGTGCGGGGAGGGGCTGCGTGCGGGGAGGGGCTGCGTGCGGGGAGGGGCTGCGTGCGGAGAGGGGGCTGCGTGCGGGGAGGGGTGCGTGCGGGAGGCGGCTGCCTGCGGGGAGCGAGCTGACTATGGGGAGGGAGCTGCCTGCGGGGAGGGGGCTGACTGCCGGGCAGGCCGCGTGGTTCCCCCGAGAGTGGAGGACCCGTGACGTCAGGCAACATTTCTCCAAAGCCTCCCTCACCTCGTCCTTTGGGATCTGGGGTGCTCAGAGGAAGGGGGAAGCCGGGTGGGTGTAGAGAGGGTCACTGGAGAGGGGAAAGGCCGGAGTGATCCCCTTGGGGAGGAGGCAGAGGAGAAGCTGTGGATACCCAGAGAGAAGAGGTGGGGTGCGCCTGGGCCTCTCAAGTTTGTTTCCCAGAACCCGGGAAGATTACGGTAGAAGGGAGGACCCTGTGGGGAAGAAGCTTCCAGAGACCTTCTGGAGAGGTGAGCCAGGGCCAGCCAGGGCCAGAAGCAGAAGGCCAGCTGCAGACCCCAGGCCAGCTGCAGTGGAGAGTCAGTGCTGCAGGAGGCTTGGGAACCAGGGCTGCCCTTCTTGGGCTGAACCCTGTGCCTAGAAGACCATGGCCCTGGGCAAAAGCGCTGCTTTCTGGGCCCACTGGCGGGTAGGGCATGACACCATGGTGCTAGGGGCAGGGGGCGACATGAGATGGTAGACAAGCGGCCTGAGTCACCAGGTACAACCACTGCACCCCATTGTGACTGCCCCTGGGTCAGACACAGATTTGGGGTGGTCGGGAATTTGCCTTGACCTCCTTAGGCACTCATGAGTTTCTAGGTTGAGCAAATAAAAAGTCCAAGATGCCCAGTTTATTCTGAATCTCAGATAAACAACAAATAGTCATTTTTACCAATGTTGGGGACATACTTATGCTAAAATTGTTTATCTGAAATTCAAATTTAATTGGGCATCTTACCCGGCACGGCTGGGTGGTGGTTGTCACACTGTGCAGTCGGAGGGACCAGGACGTCTCGGATGGAGGCGTCTGGCCAGTGTGGGAGACCAGGACCTGGTCATGAGATGTGGCTCCTGGCATGGCAGGGCAAAGCCTCTGCTGGTCGTCTGAGCCCAGCCCTGACCCCAGGCTGAGAACGCTGTCCGCCCAGACCCTTCTGAGCCCAGCCCTGACCCCAGGCTGAGAACGCTGTCCGCCCAGACCCTTCTGAGCCCAGCCCTGACCCCAGGCTGAGAACGCTGTCCGCCCAGACCCTTCTGAGCCCAGCCCTGACCCCAGGCTGAGAACGCTGTCCGCCCAGACCTTCTGAGCCCAGCCCTGACCCCAGGCTGAGAACGCTGTCCGCCCAGACCCTTCTGAGCCCAGCCCTGACCCCAGGCTGAGAACGCTGTCCGCCCAGACCCTTCTGAGCCCAGCCCTGACCCCAGGCTGAGAACGCTGTCCGCCCAGACCTTTCTGAGCCCAGCCCTGACCCCAGGCTGAGAACGCTGTCCGCCCAGACCGTTCTGAGCCCAGCCCTGACCCCAGGCTGAGAACGCTGTCCGCCCAGACCGTTCTGAGCCCAGCCCTGACCCCAGGCTGAGAACGCGTCCGCCCAGACCATTCTGAGCCCAGCCCTGACTCCAGGCTGAGAGGGCCCTCCGACCCGACCGTTCTGAGCCCATCCCTGACTGCAGGCTGAGACGGCTGTGCACCCAGGCTGTTCTGAGTCTAGTGCTGACTCCAGGCTGAGACGGCCGTCCACCCAGGGCGTTCTGAGCCTAGCCCTGACTCCAGGCTGAGACAGGTGTTCATTCACCCAGACTGTTCTGAGCCCAGCCCTGACTCCAGGCTGAGACAGCCGTCCACCCAGGCTGTTCTGAATCTAGCCCTGACTCCAGGCTGAGACAGGCATTCATTCACCCAGACCGTTCTGAGCCAGCCTGACCTCAAGTGATCTGCTCACTTTGGCCTCCCAAAGTGCTAGGATTACATGTGTGAGCCACCATGCCTAGCCCAGTTTACTCTTTACACTAGAATTGGCAGTAGGTGGGCCTGGTGGCACACATCTGTAATCTCATCACTTTGGGAGGCCAAGGCAGGAAGATAGCTTGAGGCCAGGAGTGAAACCACTTTAGCAAGATTATAACAATGAGAGGAGGCCAGGCGTGGTGGCTCATGCCTGTAATCCCAGCACTTTGGGAGGCCGAGGCGGGTGGATCACAAGGTCAGGAGATCAGGACCATCCTGACTAACGCAGTGAAACCCCGTCTCTAATAAAACTACAAAAAATAATAGCGGGACGTGGTGGCAGGTGCCTGTAGTCTCAGCTACTCAGGAGGCTGAGGCAGGAGAATGGCGTGAACCTGGGAAGCAGAGCTTGCAGTGAGCTGAGATTGCGCCACTGCACTCCAGCTTGGGTGACAGAGTGAGACTCGTGCTCAAAAAAAAGGGAGGAATCTAACATAACTGTTTCCAGCTTGCTTCTAATCTCACAAGCTAACCTGCCTTTGCTCAGGTGGCATAGGCCAAGCTAACTATGGGAGGAATTTAGTTCATAGTTTAAAGTAAGGATGGGCCAGGCATGATGGCTCACACCTGTAATACCTTTGAAAGACCGAGGCAGGTGAATCACCTGAAGTCAGGAGTTAAAGACCAGCCTGACCAACATGACAAAACTCTGTCTCTACAAAAAATAAAAATAAAAATTAGCTGACATGGTGGCGGGCACCTGTAATCCCAGCTACTCAGGAAGGTGAGGCAGGAGAATCACTTGAACCTGAGATGCGGGAGGTTGCAGTGAGCCGAGATTGTGCCATTGTACTCCAGCCTGGGTGACAAGAGCGAAACTCCATCTCAAAACAAAAATAAATAAATACAAATAAAAAATAAAGTAAGGACGATAATAGTCTCTTCCCAAAACTACTCCACTCCTTGACCAAAGCCGCCTTTGTAAAACTAATGAAAGACCACAATGTTAGCATTATGGTAGGGGCTTGAAATTTTTTTTTTTTTTTAGATGGAGTCTTGCTCGGTCACCCAGGCTGGAGTGCAATGGCGCCATCTCAGCTCACTGCAATCTCTGCCTCCCGGGTTCAAGTGATTCTCCTCCTTCAGCCTCCGGAGTAGCTGGGATTACAGGCACCTACCACCGCACCCAGTTTTTTGGGGGGGCGGGTTTTCGTATTTTTAGTAGAGACGGGGTTTCACCGTGTTGGCCAGGCTGGTCTCAAACTCTTGACCTTGTTATCTGCCTGCCTCGGCTTCCCAAAGTGCTGGGATTACAGACGTGAGGCATGGCGCCTGGCCAGGGGCTTGACTTCTGCTTATGAGCCAGGATAGGTAGTCAAGGAAGTGACCATATCGTTAGGATGCAGCCACCGTGGCCACTGTACAGTCAACACAGTGAGGCTTTGCATTTGCGCTGTGGTCCAGCTCATCCAAGCAAAGCTAGCTCCAGGAGAGAAATCCCCCCTCCCCAACTAGAGAGCATGCATATTTGATTTTCCCTGTCCTCAGACTGACCCTTTGCTCATTATAATAGAAAACACACCCCTGGGTGGAGATTTAAGATGCTAATGAGACACGCAACTGATGAACAAGCAGGTGCAGGTACTGCGCATGTGCACCTAGAGGACGCCCCCCCCCCGCCCCGCCCCGCCGAACATGTTTCCTAGCAACGCCTCTGCCCACCCGCGGTGAGTAATCATGGAAGACTCCCACGGAGGAGCCTCCCTGGTGCCAGTCTCTGCTGTCTCGCCCTTACCAGCAGACGGCCCTGAATCCTCTCTCTCAGGGCGTCCTGTCTCTTCTGCGTCGCACTTTCAAAATATTCTTTCTCCTTTGCAATACATTGCTCTGTGCCGCTTCTCCTTGGCTGCGTGTCTCTTGTTTAAATTCTTTTTTTTTTTTTTTTTTTTTTGAGACGGAGTCTCACGCTGTTGCCCAGGCTGGAGTGCAGTGGCGTGATCTCGGCTCACTGCAAGCTCCGCCTCCCGGGTTCCCGCCATTCTCCTGCCTCAGCCTCCTGAGTAGCTGGGACTACAGGCGCCCGCCACCATGCCCGGCTAATTTTTTGTATTTTTAGTAGAGACGGGGTTTCACTGTGGTCTCGATCTCCTGACCTTGTGATCCGCCCGCCTCGGCCTCCCAAAGTGCTGGGATTACAGGCTTGAGCCACCGCGCCCGGCCTTAAATTCTTTTAAACTAGCCGGGCGAGGTGGCGGGCGCCTGTAGTCCCAGCTACTCGGGAGGCTGAGGCAGGAGAATGGCGGGAACCCGGGAGCGGAGCTTGCAGTGAGCTGAGATCCGGCTACTGCACTCCAGCCTGGGCGACAGAGCGAGACTCCGTCTCAAATAAATAAATAAATAAATAAATAAATAAATTCTTTTAAACGAAGAAGACAAGAATGGAGGCCTCCCAGCAGCCGTCACCGTTTCTGGTGCCGTGACTCGGATGGAGGTTTGTCCGCGTCGTTCACTCCGGTTTCCCTTCCCCGCGGCGGGTACCGTGGCAGTGCCAGGCTGCCTGGTTGGCTGCTGCTGCTTTTCCCAGGGCTGTTTCAGTCAAGCTCTGGGAAAGGTTTCTAAGTTGCCTGTACCCTTTCTGTGGATGTATGTGCTGCTGTCCTCTGGCTGCCTCTGCACCGCTCATCATTATCCTAACCACATGGGTTGCTCTCAACGTTCAGTATTTGGGCTGTTTTGCTGCTTAATTTCACACCTTTCTGGACTCGTTTCAGACGCAGCTGTTTGCTGTCCCTCTGGTAGCACTCGGCCGCCACCTCGTGGCCATTGTGATTTATTGTCTGATCGCGTTTTCTGTTTTACAAAATTTTCTTTTTTTCTTTTTTCTTTCTTTTCTTTTCTTTCTTTCTTTCTTTCTTTCTTTCTTTCTTTTTTTTTTTTTTTTTTTTTTTTTTTGACGGAATCTCTTTTGCCCAGGCTGGAGTGCAATGACACCACCTCGGCTCACAGCAACCTCTGCCTCCTGGGTTAAAGCAACTCTCCTGCCTCAGCCTCCCGGGTTGCTGGGACTACAGGGGTCTGCCACCACGCCCAGCTGATTTTTTATACTTTTAGTAGAGATGGGGTTTCACCATGTTGGCCAGGCTGGTCTTGAACTGCTGACCTCAAGTGATCCATCCACCTTGGCCTCCCAAAGTGTTGGGATTACAGGCATGAGCCACCGCGCCTGGCCAAAGTCTGTTTTGAGGGACACATTAAGAGTGCCCTGTCCCTTCAGACCTTATGCATTTTCCAGCTCCTTCAGATGGTCCTTCGACTGGCTTTCTTTGCTGAACAAAAGATGCTTAGTCATGTAGATGCCAGGCCGTGGGGATTGCATCAGGCATTCCAGGCATTGTAATTGGGCATCACCAATGGCCAACCAGTGAGGCAGGGAAAGGCTTGCTGGTGAGATGTCAGGCCTCCCAGCCAGCAGGGGGGGCCACCTCAGTCGGGCCTGGAGACTTCCAGCACCCAGGAGACCCAGGACGGTGCATGCCAAATGCCCGTGACCTCCTAGGGCCCTGGTTTCATGAGGATTCAAGGAGATGTCCCAGACCCTGTCATGGTCCAGCTCTTCATGAGGAGAAATGTGTGTAACTATGAATAGTAAGATGGGCAAACCTCCTAGTCCCTGCATTTAGAAGCGCTTTTCCTAAGACTTCCAGTATGTATGAATTCTTTGAAAACTATATGACTTTTATTTCTACTGATTTTATTCTGGATACTAAGGATGTGCCAAATGAGTCAGATACTAAGATTCATCCTTTGAAATCACGTAGTGTGTTTTATGCAGCTATCCTCAGAAACATCAGTGATGCCTGAACTTTTAAAACATCTGCTAGAGCAAAATTAAACGAGCATTTGGTAGTAATCTCACTTTGTGTTCAGTTAATAAGTGGTTGATAAAGTTTCTATATTTGTCTGGAAAAGTTAAAAAAAGTTACATGTCATTTGAGGAAAATATGTAATCAGAAATTTTTGCATAGATTGATTCCAAAAAAGGCATTTCTAGCATTGTGGAACATGGTGAGACATTATATAAATTCCAGAAAGAAAGCAACTGGATTTAGAGATTTATTGTAAGACACAAATTCACTGCTGCCTTTACAGTAAGAAATGTATGTGCTAACCATATATGCTGTATTTATTTTGTTGTTAAGCATACTTTCAGTTTGCTCCGCGTTCATGAGAATACAAACGGTCCCCGAAGGGAAGAGGAAACTTAGTCTTTTTTAAATGACTTATGGGAGACCCTCCCTCACCGTAGACCCATTAATCAAACCTGAAACTCAGTCTATTATAACATATATTCAAAATCTAGGCCAGGTGCGGCTGGCCATCCAGGAATATGGAAACACGGTGCTGCCCTCGCCTGGGCAAGTGAAACAGAAGCCCAAAGTGCTGCCTGGAGGCTGGGTCCTGTTGAAAACCTAGAAGGAAGGCTCCCCAGCAGATCAACTTCTTCCTAAATGGAACGGACCTTACCAAGTGCTGCGAACCACCCCCAGTGGCCGTAAAGCTGCAGGGAATCGCCAGTTGGGCCTGCATGACCAGAATTAAACTTTGCAATAAACCTTTACAGAAACCAGAGGAAGCCGCTCATTACACCCAAGAGCTCAAAGAGGCTCTGAAGTTTCTATTCAAGAAAACAACCCCAGATGGGGCTGATCCAGAAGACAAGTAACATCTTCCTTTTCTGGTGCTCGCCTGCTGTGCTCTAAGCGCTTTTAGAGATGCTGGTCCGTGTGCTAGGGAAGCAATTAACATAACATAATTATGTTAGTCTATTAAACATAACTCAGCCTGGCTGGCTTTCCATGATTACCAAACGCGGGGAATATGCCAGACCTGTGCCCGTGGAAGACTCTGGCCTCCAGCACACCTCCAGGAGCAAACTCACTGGCCAGCAGGATGGGGATAGCAGCCCCAACAGTCAATACAAAGGGATTTTATTGGATGGGGTCATGGGTTCCCTAAGTTCCCTCTCTTAACGATCAACAGTAGTTCAAATGTCCCAAAAGGAGAAATGCTTTCTTAGCGTATCTTTTATCTGGAGTATTTCCCCTTCTGCCTTTACAGCCATCATGCCAGTTCCAACACTTTTGCAGGAAAACTCCAAGAGAGTCCGTGTAGATGAACCTTTGTCACTGGGTCACTATCTAGTCCACACATCTGCAGGAACTATACTGATAAATGGACAACTCGCCCATGCAATCAATTTCCTGCTCTATGCTGTTCCCTGACTGGCAGGGTCTCTACTTCCTGTCAACAAAACTAGGACGGGGTTTCTGCTGGGGCTGCCTTCACATGGGAAGCCTTTAATCACTCTATCTCAATATATCCTCTGGGGACCATCAACATTTCCTGTTAAAGATAACTACACTTGGCCGGCTGCTGTGGCTCACACCTGTAATCCCAGCACTTTGGGAGGCCGAGGCGGGTGGATCACAAGGTCAGGAGATCGAGACCAGGCTGGCTAACACGGTGAAACCCTGTCTCTACTAAAAAAATTACAAAAAATTAGCCGGGCGTGGTGGCGGGCACCTGTAATCCCAGCTACTTGGGAAGCTGAGGCAGGAGAATGGCGTGAACCCACGAGGCAGAGCTTAAAGTGAGCTGAGATCGTGCCACTGCACTCCAGCCTGGACAACAGAGCAAGACTCTGTCTCAAAAAAAAACAATAATAAAAAAATAAACTAAATGTGGTGGGACCCTAAGAGGGGAACCCTATTTAAAGAACTTGTTAACACCACCATCCAACTCTACCATCCCCTAATGGACCCAGTGAGCACTGTTTAAAGAACTTGTTAACACCACCATCCAACTCTACCATCCCCTGATGGACCCAGTGAGCACTGCCAACATAGCTGCACAAAACCTTTCACTCGTAGGCCAGAAAATAGAAAACCCTCTTTTATAGAACCTCCACTGCTTTCACCACTTTAATGAAAAATACTTTTGTAGCACACGGAGTTTTGGGGGTTGTGGATCTCCAGTGTATCTACGACTTCCTGCACTCTGGAAGGGACAGCGTTCCATCGCTTACAGCTCGCCCCATCTAACCCCCCATGGGCTACTGTGTCTCTCCCTTTTCCCATGTACTAACATCACGCGAGCCACCGCTGAGCAGGACCCCTTATTCCCTTGGGTTTAGTGTCATCCTCTCTATTGGGATTAGCAGGGACAGCTGTGGGAGACAGAGCCTTGGGAATCCAGCATAAACTGTCTTGGGAGACCGAATGGCCCTCCAGCAAACGGCAGAGGGCCTCACGAGTCTTCAACAGCAGCTGGACTCCCTGGCTGCTGTAGTCCTGCAAAACTGAGGGACCTTAAATCTTCTCATGCCAGACAAGGAGGAACATGTCTGTATCTAAAAGGAGAATGCTGTGGCTACATCAGTCAGCCCAGTTTGGTCCTAGAACATATTAAAAACATCATTACCCAGGCAGACAAAATTGAATCTTTAGGACTTCCATGGGAACTTGGAAGCAATGGCTGTTGTCTGCCCTACTCCCTTTAATAGTGCTGATTATTGTCATACTTTTAGCCTTAACTTTTAGTCCAACTTTGTTTTGTTATTGTTGTTGTTGCTGCTTTTCTGTTTTAAGATCTTTTATTAGAACACAGTCATTCAGAAGCCATTGAGCCATCAGGCAGCAGGAAGGAAGGTGGGGTGGAGCAGGCCCTGTGAAGGACCAAGGACAAAGTAATAGCCACAGTTATTTAATTTCATTTTATTCTGATAAAGACTAATGTATGCCTGATAGCCTAGCAATAATCCATAAGTTTAGTAGTTCACAACCTTTTAGAAAGCACATACGATTAACATTCAAACAAGGCATTATAGAAGGTTTTACGAAGAATGAAGTGTTTGCTATAATTAGTTTACGAAGAATGAAGTGTTTGCTATAATTAGTTTACGAAGAATGAAGTGTTTGCTATAATTAGTTTACGAAGAATGAAGTGTTTGCTATAATTAGTTTACGAAGAATGAAGTGTTTGCTATAATTAGTTTAAGAAACTTTGGTTCATCTTGAAAGATAGATGAATTTTTTAAATATCAGAAGAAAAGGAAAATGAAATTTTCCCCCCAAAATACATAAGAACTACTTACTGGCACTGGTATTTTAAGTACCTGGAAAACAACGGAACAGATTTTTAAAGGCAATTAATAACGGCTTGTACGAGGGCTTGTTTCATTTGACTTGGCACCAAGTAAAGGAAGAGTAAACACGCCATGGAAGACGCCATCGGGCATTTCCTCCACCTCTCATGCTGCCCCACTTCTATCAGACCACACAGCACGTCAGCAGCCGTCCTTGCTGCCCCGCTGAGGAATCACTTTAGATTCCGATTTGTAAATGGCTGCTCAGATGACGCCAGTAGAGTTCTTTCCCCTTACAATAAGGCGGCGATGAGTGCTAACAGCATCAAGTTCTCTGATCAGGAACCAAGAACTCCTTCAGGAAACTCACTCAGCTTCCTGGTCCTTGTTAACCCATCACGTAAATTCTCTTTATTGGCACACCTGTTTACTAATTACGATTGATTGCTATTTATGCCAGGCATGCCTCATCTATTTACTCACGACAACGTGTGCTTACTTTATTTACACAGTGCCGCAGTTTTCTCTTTTTTCTTTTCTTTTTTGGGCAGCGGGGTGGCACTGTGACTTGTTATTTATCAGGGCAGATCATACGTTTGGATCAAAAAGAGAAACCGTCAAGTAGATCCTAAAACACATTTCTTCACCTGAGTCATATCTGAAAACATACAGACTTTAATTACATTTTGTTGAAAATTCATTCAACTTTGGTGCTTGTCCAAGGACTTATAATGCCAGTTTCTGACGTAAATCATAGCCCTGAGTATATATGTACTTTCAAAGGAAACAAGTCATCTTAAAGTAATATTTTTCTACATGCTAATTGATACATGTTTATAGCAAATTGAAAATTCTGAGCAAACTGAAAGTATGCTTAACAACGAAATAAATACAGCATATATGGTTAGCACATACATTTCTTACTGTAAAGGCAGCAGTGAATTTGTGTCTTACAATAAATCTCTAAATCCAGTTGCTTTCTTTCTGGAATTTATATAATGTCTCACCATGTTCCACAATGCTAGAAATGCCTTTTTTGGAATCAATCTATGCAAAAATTTCTGATTACATATTTTCCTCAAATGACATGTAACTTTTTTTAATTTTTCCAGAAAAATATGGACTTTATCAACCACTAATTAACTGAACACAAAGTGAGATTACTACCAAATGCTCGTTTAATTTTGCTCTAGCAGATGTTTTAAAAGTTCAGGCATCACTGATGTTTCTGAGGATAGCTGCATAAAACACACTACGTGATTTCAAAGGATGAATCTTAGTATCTGACTCATTTGGCACATCCTTAGTATCCAGAATAAAATCAGTAGAAGTAAAAGTCATATAGTTTTCAAAGAATTCATACATACTGGAAGTCTTAGGAAAAGCACTTCTAAATGCAGGGACTAGGAGGTTTGCCCATCTTACTATTCATAGTTACACACATTTCTCCTCATGAAGTAACTGAAGCTTTCTGGCTTGTTTGTGGCACTTTAGTTTGTAGGAAAATATATATAGAGGGCCAAATCTTATTGGTTTCTGTTCCGGAGAATGTTTCCAACACCCCCTTTTCTCTGGTGATATTTCAGGACTGGCTTTGTTTGGCTTCATAAGCCTTTAGTCTCTTTATTTATTTATTTATTTATTTATTTATTTATTTATTTTGAGCCAGTGTCTCGCTCTGTTGCGCAGGCTGGAGTGTGGTGGCGCCATCTCGGCTCACTGCAATCTCCACCTCCCAGGTTCAAGCGATTCTCCTGCTCAGCCTCCTGAGTAGCTGGGACTACAGGTGCCCGCCACCACGCCCAGCTAATTTTTGTATTTTTAGTAGAGATGGGGTTTCACCATATTGGCCAGCCTGGTTTAGAACTCCTGACCTTGTGATCCGCCTGCCTCGGCCTCCCCAAATGCTGGGATTACAGGTGTGAGCCACTGTGCCTGGCTGCCTTTAGTCTCTTGATAACCATCTCTGGTTTATCATCCTCATGCTGAATGAGAGGGTCCCCAGGCAGAGCATCAGTGCCCACAGTGTTGGGAGGGTTGATTCAATGTTGTAGACTGGGCCGCTGGCGGGATGAATCCAGCGAGCAGTAAGGCGTTTGTTTAATGACCTCAAAGGGCACATTCAGGCTAATCACTGCGTCGATCTGATGAGCCCTATCTAGGGCTTCTGCCTGTCGAAATGTCCTTGAAAAACCATCCAACAGCCAGTTAGACTGGGTGAGATTTTCCAGCTCTTGCAGCCGGCTTGATTGGTGGCCTGTGTCGGGTGCCATATGAGAGATTTCAACCAGCCCACGCGCAACCAGAGGGATGCGGCCCACGGTGTGGGTGGTCTCAGCAGCTCTGGAGGGTTGCGGCCCACGGCATGGGTGGTCTCAGCAGCTCTGGAGGGTTGCGGCCCATGGCATGGGTGGTCTCAGCAGCTCTGGAGGGTTGCGGCCCATGGTGTGGGTGGTCTCAGCAGCTCTGGAGGGTTGCAGCCCACGGCGCGGGTGGTCTCAGCAGCTCTAGAGGGATACAGCCCATGGTGAGGGTGGTCTCAGCGTCGCCTCTGTCTGACCCTCCCTCCCTCTGCATCTCTCTCAAATCTTGGCAGCCCACAGACTGAGTCAAATTGAGAAGAAAGAAAGTGGAGGCAAGTTCATTAATGTCAGTGCAATTAATTTAACTGTATTCAATTACAAACAAATAGAGCATTTCAGATAGTGATGATGGTTCTCAGGATGCACAAACAAGGGGCTGGGATGAGGAGTGACCAGGTTAAGGCCACCTCAGAAAGGACAGGCAGTGAGGTGGCAGGTGAATGATTAAACATGCATATCCACCATATTTGTAATATATTTTTAAAAATAAAATAGAGATGATTGGCCAGGCTGGCCTTGAACTCCTGGGCTCAAGTGATCTGCCTGCCTCAGCCTCCCAGAGTGCGGGGATTACAGTCATGAGCCACCACGTGCGGCCACGTCTTCTTATGAACAGAAATTCTCAATGTTAATGAGGTCAAATTCATGTACGTTTACTCTGATAGTTAGTGCTTTTGTGGAGTAGACAAGGATTTCTTAAAATATTCCCATGTGTTGACTTCTAAATGTTTTATTGTTTTTAAGTCCTACATTCAGGGTTAGGATGGTTTTGGGTAGACTGTGAGGCTTGGGGTCATGATTTACTGAAGATTTTTTTTTTTTTAGACAAATATTCAATTGTTCCAGCACCGTTCTTCAAGCTAACTTATAACGATCCCAAATGGGAGTATGGAACTCTAAGAAGGCAAGAGAAGCAGAAATAATAACTACTTGGATAAATATAAAATAATATTGGTGTAATTATTGGTGTAAAATAAGAATAACATCTTGTAGGTTTATAACATACATACAAGTAAATATACATGGGACTATAGGCACACATGACCACACCCAGCTAATTTTTAAAATTTGTTTGTAGAAATGGAATCATGATATGTTGCCTGGTGTTGCAGGAAGTCAGGGACCCCAAATGGAGGGACCGACTGGAGCCATAGCAGAGGAACATAAATTGTGAAGATTTCATGGATATTTATCAGTTCCCAAATAATACTTTTATAATTTCTTATGCCTGTGTTTAATCTCTTAATCCTGTTATCTTTGTAAGTTGAGGATGTATGTCACCTCAGGATCACTGTGGTAATTGTGTTAACTGTACAAATTGATTATAAAACATGTATGTTTGAACAATATGAAATCAGTGCACCTTGAAAAAGAACAGAATAACAGCGATTTTTAGGGAACAAGGGAAGACAACTGTAAGATCTGACTGCCTGCGGGGTCGGGCAGAAAGAGCCATATTTTTCTTCTTGCAGAGAGCCTATAAACGGACGTGCAAGTAGGAGAGATATCGCTAAATTCTTTCCCCAGCAAGGAATATTAATATTAATACCCTGGGAAATGAATGCATTCCTGGGGAGAGGTCTATAAACGGCCACTCTGGGAGTGTCTATCTTACGTGGTTGAGATAAGGACTGAGATACGCCCTGGTCTCCTGCAGTGCCCTCAGGCTTACTAGGGTGGGGAAAAAACTCCGCCCTGGTAAATTTGTGATCAGACCGGTTCTCTGTTCTTGAACCCTGTTTTCTGTTGTTTAAGATGTTTATCAAGACAATATGTGCACCCTGAACATAGACCCTTATCAGTAGTTCTGCTTTTGCCATTTGTCCTGTTCCCTCAGAAGCATGTGATCTTTGTTCTGCTTTTTGCTCTTTGAAGCATGTGATCTTTGTACCTACTCTCTGTTATTACACCCCCTCCTCTTTTGAAATCCTTAATAAAAAACTTGCTGGTTTGAGGCTCAGGTGGGCATCATGGTCCTACCGATATGTGATGTCACCCCTGGCGGCCCAGCTGTAAAATTCCTCTCTTTGTACTCTTTCTCTTTATTTCTCAGCCAGCTGACACGGAAAATAGAAAGAGCCTGTGTTGAAACATTGGGGGGGTTTCCCCGATATCTGGCTTGTCTTGAACTCCTGAGCTCAAGTGATCCTCCCACCTCAGCCTCTCAAAGTACTGGGATTACAGGCATGAACCACTGTGTCTGGCACAAGCAAATATTAAAACAACGAAAGTACAATGGAATAGAGGTAGGTAAATGAAGTTATGCTGTGTAATGTTCTTGAATTGTTCATGAGTGTGGGCGGCAAGCCACCCAGGGGCCGAGGCAAGAGACCGAGGGCACAAGCTGTTCCAGTCTAATAAAGAAAATATATAGAATGAGAATAGTTATACTAGAAATGGATTATAGATATGACTCTATATGAATATTATCAATCATTAGTTTGTAGCATTACTCTTTTTTCCAGTATTACAATAATCCTTGCTCTACAATTATAACCTAGGAAAAACCAGGCCATACAGAGATAGGAGCTGAAGGGACACGGTGAGAAGTGACCAGAAGCCTAGTGTGAGCCTCTGTCATGCCCGGACAGGGCCACTAGAGGGCTCCTTGGTCTAGCGGTAATGCCAGTGCCTGGGAAGGCGCCCGTTACTTAGCAGACTGGGAAAGGGAGTCTCCCTTTCCTTGGGGAGTTAGAGAAGACTCCGCCCCACCACTTCTTGTGGAAGGCCTGACATCAGTCAAGCCTGTCTGCAGCCATCCGGACGCCTAAACGTCTCCCCGTGATGCTGTGCTTCAGCGGTCATGCTCCTGGTCCACTTTCATGTTCCGCCCTGTCCACCTGGCTCTGCCTTCTAGATAGCAGTAGCAGAATTAGTGAAAGTATTAAAGTCTTTGATCTCTCCAGAAATACATAGAAGAAATAATGACACAAACTCTCCCCTCTCTCTCTCCGCCTTGACTACCAAAGAGGGAAGGGCCCCCTGTCCAGTGGACACGTGACCCATGTGACCTTACCTATCATTGGAGACAACTCACGCTCCTTATCCTGCCCTCTTGCCTTGTATACAATAAATGACAGCACAGCCGGGCATTCGGGGCCACTACTGGTCTCCGAACCTTGGTGGTAGTGGTCCCCAGGGCCCAAATGTCTTTTCTTCTGTCTCTTTGTCTTGTGTCTTTATTTCTACGATCTCTCATCTCCACACATGAGGAGAAAAACCCACAGGCCCTGTAGGGCTGGACCCTATGATGAGACAGTAACCAACTTAAGATGGACTATAGGTCAAAGATGCATATCGTAATGTCTAAAATAACCACTGACGAATCATGTAAAATATATGTCAGAATATAACAAAACAAAATACGAGAAATATTTAACAAATCCAGAAGAATACAGTAAAGGAAAACAAAGAAAAAAAAAGCTGGGAAAAAATAAAAGCAAACAGTGAAATGGAATATTTTAACCCAACTATGTTAGTTCTCACATTAAATGTAAATGAACTTATTCTAATTTAAAGACAGAAAGTTTTAGGCTGAATAAAGATAACAATAAACTGGTCACAGCACTTATTTTAAAAGGAAGGACACAGGCCAGACATGGTGGCTCATGTCTGTAATCCCAGCACTTTGAGGGGCTGAGGTCAGAGGATCTCTTGAGCCCAAGAGTTCAAGACAATCCTGGGCAACATAGCAAGACCCTGTCTACAAAAAAAAAAAAAGGTCACTGAAAGAAGACAATGGGAAAAGATACATCATACTGATAGTATTAGGCAGGAAATGCAACTGAAATAAAAGGATATTTATAGTGATATAAGGGTCAACACAATAGGACAATATTTTAATCCTACATTTGTACATATCTAATAACAGCTTCCAAACATTTAAGCACAATATGACAAAGCTGAAAATCAAGGCAAATCCACAATCACACTTAGGTTTTTGTTTGTTTGTTTGTTCGTTTGGTGTTTGTTTTGTTTTGTTTTGTTTTTGAGATGGAGTTTTGCTCTTGTTGCCCAGACTAGAGTGCAATGGCACGATCTTGGCTTAATGCAACCTCCACCTCCCAGGTTCAAGTGATTCTCCTGCCTCAGCCTCCTGAGTAGCTGGGATCACAGGCATGTGCCACCATGCCCAGCTAATTTTGTATATCTAGTAGAGATGGGGTTTCTCCATGTTGGTTAGGCTGGTCTTGAATTCCCGACTTCAGGTGATCTGCCCGCCTCGGCCTCCCAAAGTGCTGGGATTACAGGCACGAGCCACCGTGCCTGGCCAGGTATTTTAATATGAATCTTTAAGTAACTGATAGAACAAGCAGACCAAAAAATAGAATACATGAATTTATACAGGATTATAAATATTCACATACTGAACATACATGGAATGCTGTACCAAACACCTGGAGAATCCACATTTCTTTAAGTGAATGTAGAACGTTTATCACATGTGTCCCATGCTCAGCCATGCAATTAATCTAGAATTAGAAATAAAACATATAAAGGTTGGAAAGAAATAAATGCAATATGGCAAGAAAAAGGTATGACTAGAAAGGAAATGAAAATGTCATTATTTGCAAATGATATACTTGCATATGGGGAGAAACCAAAAGAATTTGCAAACAAAATATACATAAATTTAACAGGGTTCTGAAGGTCAAGGTACAAAAATCAAATATATTCTATAGACTGACAAGGTAAAGTGAAATGTAAAAGACAATATCATTTATATTATCATCAAAACCAATATAATGTTTAAAATGAAACCCAACAAGAGATGCAGAAGATCTCTACCCTGAAAAACCAAGAAAATACACATGAGGCCGGGCATGGTGGCTCACCCTGTAATCCCAGCACTCTGGGAGGCCGAGGTGGGTGGATCATGAGGTCAGGAGTTCAAGACCAGCCTGGTCACCGTGGTGAAATCCTGTCTCTACTAAATATACAAAAACTTAGCCGGGTATGGTGGTGGGTGCCTGTAATCCCAGCTACTTGGGAAGCTGAGGCACGAAAATCACTTGAGCCCAGGAGGTGGAGGTTGCAGTGAGCCAAGATCGCACCATTGCACTCCAGCCTTGGCGACAGAGTGAGACTCCATTTCAAAGAAATAAAAATAAAAATACACATGAGAAAAAATGGAGATCTACATAAGGAAGGACATACAAAGGCATCTGTTGGAAGAGTTAATACTTTTAAACTGATGTATAGACTTGATGCAATCCTGATCAAAAGGGTATAAGGAATGATGATAATGATGAGGATGTCAAAATTCGCCTGCTGAGTCTATAATTTACCTGGAAATACTAAAATTTTAGAATAACCAGGGCAACCTTGGAGAAGAACAAGGGCTTATGAATCACGTGTCAAGATTTTCTGAAACTTTCTGTTGTTGTGACAGCTAGGTATTGGCAAAGGGGACAGACAGCTGCTGAGTTGGGCCCATGTTTTAGCAGCACTTGATCACCAGGCTGGAACGAGCGGACTGGTTCTGCCGAGTTCACAGGGCTCCTGTTCAGAGCAAGCTTATGCAAAACATGAAGAATTTGTCCCACCTGAGTATGTTTAATAGTTGGCTTTCTACCAAGGGGCACCCCAGTAACCTGAGACAGATTAGCAGCCAAGGGTCTCCCCTATATAATTTCTTAGGGACTTAACCTGATCCCACTTCTGGGGGTCACTCTTACCCGGAGCAGTGCAAGGCCAAAGCCCTAAATCCATTTCAGTTGAGTTTCCTGACACGGTTTGGTAAGAACTGTTTTTAGGGTTTGATTTTTCCTTTCCATCGGTCCAGAGGATTGTGGTCTCCATGCTGAGTGCGACTCCCAATTTATTCCGAGTGCCCTGTGTACTTGGGACAACCACAGGGCTCTCATAAGGGCAATCAGTTCTGCCTCCTGTGCAGAGATTCCCATTAGTAAAGTCCCCGCTTCTGTTACCTTGGAAACAGTTACCAAGGCATATGCAACATTTCTTTTTCTGTTGGTTACCAGGCTGCTCCCTTCCACGAACAATGTCCAGTCTGAATGTGGCAGGGCTGTGTCCTTTAAATCAGGGCAACTGGGCTGGGCGCGGTGGCTCACGCCTGTAATCCCAGCACTTTGGGAGGCCGAGGAAGGTGGATCACGAGGTCAGGAGATCGAGACCATCCTGGCTAACACGGTGAAACCCCGTCTCTACTAAAAATACAAAAAATTAGCCGGGCGTGGTGGCGGGCACCTGTAGTCCCAGCTACTGGGAGGCTGAGGCAGGAGAATGGCGTGAACCCGGGAGGCGGAGCTTGCAGTGAGCCGAGATCACGCCACCGCACTCCAGCCTGGGCAACAAAGCGAGACTCCGTCTCAAAAATAAAATAAAATAAATAAATAAATAAACAAGCAAACAAATAAATTAGGGCAACTGGAAGACACCTGGTAGATAATTTCTAAATGATTGTGCATAGGTTCTTTGTGCTCTTCAGTAGCAGGAAGTACAGTTTCTGGGTTTAAGGCTCCAGCAGTCTGCAGTTTTCCTGCAGGGTCATCTGGAGGTGTGGCCTGGCATTTGCTCAGCCTGCCTGCTGTCAGTCCTTCTGTTCTAGTAACACCAGCACCTGGTGAGGTTCGTGGATCATGATGGGCTGTCCCCAAACCAACTTTTCAGCTTCCTTTAACAGCAGGCAGGTGGCAGCGACCACCCTTACACAAGGGGCCAGTCTTTGGCCACAGTGTCCAGTAAGCCACTGGCTGCAATATTCTTCCTAATTTCTGTGTAAGGACCCCTAGTGTTAGACCCAGTCTCTCAGGCTCGTGAAAGGGCTTGTGAGAATTTGGGAGCCCGAGGACTAGGGCAGAGGTTAACTTAGGTTTCAGTTATTCACATGCGTGCTGGTGTTTTGTTCACAGGAGAAGGGGCCACGGTTAGCTCCTTCAACAGTTTGTCTAGTGGCTTCACCGTAGTTCATAGTTAGGAATCCGGATTAACAAAACCCTGTTATGCCTAGAAATCCTCTTAGCTGCCTTCGGGTAGCTGTGGCTGAGATGGAAGAGGTTGCATTTCGCCCTTCCACTGTTAGAGCTCTGTTTCCCTTCTGTAAGAGAAAACCTAAATATTCCACAGTTTGTTGGCATATTTGAGCCTTTTTACTTGAAACCTTAGATCCACAGGTTGCTAGATGGTTTAGCGTTTTAATGGTGTTATTCTGATAGTCCCATTCAGAGGGGCTAGATCTTAGTAAATCATCCACATATTGTAACTATACCCAGTTTTTCAATTGTAAGCTCCTCAAATCTTGAGCCAAGGCTACTCCAAATATAGTTGGAGAGCTTTGAAATCCTGGTGGGAGCACAGTCCAATGATACTGAAATTGTGTGTGGCTTTAGGACCTATCTATTCAAAGGTGAACAACAGTTAGCTTTCTGTGTCTGTGGGTATGCAACAGAAAGCTTCTTTTAAATCCAATACTGCAAACCATTTATGATCTCCAGGAAGAGAAACAGACATAGTATACAGGTTAGCTACAGTGGGATGTATGTCCTCTACAACATCCCAGTTTGGGTCCGTGCAGGGAATTGCTCTGGTCAGGATCTAGAGTGTTGTCTGGATTTTCATCATGAAGCTGCTGTGCCTCTTCCTTTACTTCATTTAAAACCAGTTGTGGCTCATCTGCAGTGAGCATATTGTCCCAGAGAGCCTGCACGTCTGCCCAGGTGAGATGGTGTGCAGCAAATAGTGGTCAATAATTCAGCCATCTTTCGGGGATCCTCCCTGTCTGTAGGGAGGGTTAGAGTTCTTCCAATTTAACAAGTCTGAGGTGGAGCAGGGATTACAGGCCCAATCATTTCGGGCTGGAGTTGCTTGCTGATGGATGTTGTCATCGTGGGAACATTATGCAGTGCCCTGCTCTGGACTCCGTGACTTCTCGGCCAAAATTAGTACCTAGCCTAGTCTGAGAGGAAGACAGTAGCCCTGGTGCTTCCCTGTACTCTGGGAGTCACATTCCCTCTCTTTTCTGAGCTGGGGCAGGAGACACTATGGGGTTTAGGGTACTCACTGTCAGGTTTGGAGGTTTTCTCCTCCTCCCCTGGGGAGCAGGACAGACCTTAGCAGTGCCTCACTCCATGAGCTCATTTCCCTTTGCTTCAGCATCCTCATTACGCAGCCACATACATGTCAAGGTGTCCTGCCCCCTTTACCTGACCTCTGGCAGAACAGTTTTAATGGATAAATGGTATGAAATTGCAAAGATCCAAAAACTGGCCCCCGTTTCTCAGACCCCCAAACAAACATTGGCCAAGCTGTGTTGCAATAAAAGATTTTTTTTTTTTTTTTTTTTTTTTTTGGTCATGGATGGATAACCAAAGTTCTTCCAATGTGACAGAATTCTCCCTAAATGACTGTGTAGGGAGAGACAGAGCATTGCCTGTACTGGAGCCGGAAGACATAATGACTCCTGTGCTGGGCACAGGACTTGCATGTGGCCCCTTGTCTCTTTCTTTCTTTCCTTCCTTCCTTCTTCCCTTCCTTCCTTCCTTCCTTCCTTCCTTCCTTCCTTCTTTCCTTCCTTCCTTCCTTCCTTTCTCTCTCTCCCTCTCTCTCTTTCTCTCTCTCTTCCTTTCTTCCTTTCTTTCAGTAAATATCCATTTTATTTTTCTCCTGAGAATAGTCCGTCTTCAGTCTTTAAGGACTCAGTTCCTCATGTGGGCTTTGGTGGGGGTCACAGGGCAGCACTCACAGGTCTAAATCAAGGTGGGGGTGTTCAGTCCTTGTGGGCTTCACGAGATCCATTCCTGACTCCCTTGTTGTGAATTGCACAACCTGCACAAGAATGTAGCTTCACATACAGCTGGGGAAGCTCACAGGCATTGAAGACGCTTGCTTCAGAAAAGTCCCTGACTGCTGTGGCCTCATGATGTTTCCAATGATGCATTTCTTTTCTTTTCTTTTTTCTTTTTCTTTTGAGATGGAGTCTCACTCTGTCGCTCAGGCTGGAGTGCAGTGGCGCGATCTCAGCTCACTACAACCTCCGCCTCCCAGGTTCAAGAGATTCTCATGCCTCCTGAGTAGCTGGGATTACAGGCACCCACCATCACACCCAGCTATTTTTTGTATTTTTAGTAGAGACGGGGTTTTGTCATGTTGGCCAGGCTGGTCTGGAACTCCTGATCTCAGGTGATCCACCCACCTTGGCCTTGCTGGGATTACAGGTGTGAGCCACCATGCCCGGCCTCAGATGATGAATTTCTTAATGGCCTTGTCCTTGGCCACACATCAGGCACCATTCGCGCAGCAAATCGGCTGCACATGGCTGCAGCCCTTCTTGGCATGACCATTGTTCCTTCTTTTCTTTGTCATCTTGGAGGCACAGACCAGAGAGAGGACAATTGTCCCTTTCTTTTGGCCAATTTCTCCCTTTTGGAATGGGAATGTTTACCCAATGCCTGCATCCCCATTGTATCTTGGAAATAAATAACTTGTCTTTGAGTTCGTAGGCTCATAGGTGGAAGGAACTCATTTCCAGATGAGACTGAACCTGGGACTGGAGGCTTTTGGTTATGTTGATGCTGGGACGAGTTAAGACTTTGGGGAGCTACTGAGAAGGGACGATCTTAATTTGCAATATGAGAAGGACATGAGATTCGGGAAGCCCAGGGTGGAATGATATGGTTTAGATGTCTGTCTCTTCTAAATCTCATGGGGAAAAGGCCTCAAAGGCATTTCAGAAATCTCCGGAAGCGTAGTCCCTGGTGGTGGAGGTGGGCCTGGTGGGATTTCAGAAGTCTCCGGAAGTGTAGTCCCTGGTGGTGGAGGTGGGCCTGGTGGGTGGTGTTTGGATTGTGGGGGTAGGTCCCTCATGAACATGTTGGTGCCATCCTCATGACAGTGAGTGAGTTCTCACTCTGAGTTCATGTGAGATGTAATTGTTTAAAAGAGTGAGGTGCCTCCTGCCCCCAACTCCACTCTTGTTATGTGACATACCTGCTGTGGGGAAAAGAAAGAGAGATCAGATTGTTACTGTGTCTATGTAGAAAAGGAAGACATAAGAAACTCCATTTTGATCTGTACTAAGAAAAATTGTTCTGCTTTGAGATGCTGTTAACCTGTAACTTGAGCCCCAGCCCTGTGCTCACAGACACATGTGCTGTATTGAATTAAGGTTTAATGGATTTAGGGCTGTGCAGGATGTGCCTTGTTAACAATATGTTTGCAGGCAGTACGCTTGGTAAAAGTCGTCGCCATTCTCCGTTCTCTGTTAACCAGGGACACAATGCACTGCGGAAAGCCACAGGGACCCCTGCCCCTCCACACCTGTGGGTATTTCTTGTCAGGTGGAGACCAGAGACTGAGAAAACAAATAAGACACAGAGACAAAGAATCGAGAAACAATAGTAGGCCCAGGAGACTGGCGCTTAACGTGTGAGGACCTGCACCAGCACTGGTCTCTGAGTTCCCTCAGTATTTATTGATCACTGTTTTTACTATCTTGGTGAAGGGGGTGTGGCCGGGCAACAGGGTGATGGCAGGGAGAAGGTCAGCAGGGAAACATGTGAGCAAAGGAATGTGTATCATGAATAATTTCAAGGGAAGGTACTGTGCCTGGATGTGCACATAGGCCAGATTTATGCTTCATTTTACACAAACATCTCAGTGTAGCAAAGAGTAACAGAGCAGTATTGCTGCCAGCATATCTCGCCTCCAGCCACAGGGCGGTTTTCTCCTATCTCAGAATAGAATGAATGGTCGGCTTTACACTGAGACATGCCATTCCCAGGGAAGAGCAGGAGACAGAGGCCTTCCTCTTATCTCAACTGCAAACAGGCCTCCCTCTTTCACTCCTCCTCCTCAGCACAGACCCTTCACGGGTGTCAGACTAGGGGATGTAAGGTCTTTCCATTCCCATGAGACCATATCTCAGGCTGTCTCAGTGCGGGCAAACCTTGGACAATACCCAGGCTTTCTCAGGCAGAGAACCCTGCAGCTTTCCGCAGTGCATTGTGTCCCTGGTTAATAGAGAATGGAGAATGGCGATGACTTTTACCGAGCATACTGCCTGCAAACGTATTGTTAACAATACGTTTATTGTTTTTCTTTTTTTCTTTTTTTTGAGATGGAATCTCACCCTATCACCCAGGCTGGAGTGCAGTGATGCTATCTCAGCTCACTGCAACTTCCACTTCCTGGGTTCAAGCTATTCTCCTGCCCCAGCCTCCGGAGTAGCTGAGATTACAGGCATGCACCACCACAACCAGCTAATTATTTTATCTTTAGTAGAGACGGGGTTTCACCATGTTGGCCAGGCTGGTCTCAAACTCCAGACCTCGTGATCCACCCGCCTCGGCCTCCCAAAGTGCTGAGATTACAGGTGTGAGCCACCGCGCCTGGCCGCAGTTGCCCTGTGTTTTTATGTATTATTTTATTTCTTCTCCTCTCACTCCTCCTCTACCTTATTATTTTATACAAATTACTAAATCTGTTGTAAATTAACAGACTTAGTATTTATGTTACAAAGTATTCTTTTTTTTTTTTTTTTTTTTTTTTTTTTTTTTTTTTTTTTTGAGACGGAGTCTGGCTCTGTCGCCCAGGCTGGAGTGCAGTGGCTGGATCTCAGCTCACTGCGAGCTCCGCCTCCCAGGTTTGCGCCATTCTCCTGCCTCAGCCTCCCGAGTAGCTGGGACTACAGGCGCCCGCCACCTCGCCCGGCTATTTTTTTGTATTTTTTTTTTTAGTAGAGATGGGGTTTCACTGTGTTAGCCAGGATGGTCTCGATCTCCTGACCTCGTGATCCTCCCAAAGTGCTGGGATTACAGGCTTGAGCCACCGCGCCCGGCCTGTTACAAAGTATTCTAACAGGATTGGCTGGCTTCCCAGAGCACACACTTTCACCCAGAGAGAGATGTGTATTGATCAGAGTGTGGTGGGGAAAGGAAGGTCGCTTGTTTTCACACGGGATGGAATAAAGGGTGGAATATAGACTCAGGAGGCGGCACGACTGGTGGAAGACCCAGCAGCATGGATGTCAGGGAAGCTGTCCCCACACTGAGGACAAAATACACGTGAATGAACAGGGGACAGGGGATGTTACAGTGGCCACACCAAAGTCAACACAGTGAGAAGACTTGATGGTGGACATGTCAGCTTGAAGCACCCAAGAAGAGGTCTCAAACATTCTCCTGGCAGCAGTGGTCAGAGGGCTATGGGTTAGAGGGGAGGGATGAGTGGGTGGAGCAAGGGGATTTTTAGGGCCCTGAAACGATTCTGCAACATTGTAATGGTGGACACATGATGTTATGGATTTGTCAAAACCCGCAGAATATACAACACAAAGAGTGAGCCCTGATGTAAGCTATAAACTTGTGTTAGTAACCACGTGTCAATATTGGTTTTTCCATTGTACCACGTGAATGCAGGGTGTTAGTAACAGGAGAAATGTGAGAGACAGGAGGATGCATGGGCACCCTCTGTACTATCTTCTCAATTTTCTATAAAGCTAAAACTGCTCAAAGAAATAGAGTCTATTGATAAATAAATAAGTTTTCCTGAAAGCTGCTGCAATCCCCAAGGTCCCCAAACAGCTTCCACCTACTGTCACTCTCTACAGCAACGAGCATCTCCACGAGCTCGCAGGAGGATCTCTGTGCCGTCTACACACGCGCCCGGCTTCAGCCATCACCGGAAAGGAGGGCCTCTGCTTAATCTTCCAAGTTCTACGTGAGTTTCCCTTGGAAAACTCTAATTCAGAGCCACACGGGAGGGAGTCTGGTGGTTCTTCAGAAGAGGGTGTGCTAGGTTCAAGGCTACAACAGAAAATCCAGCACCATCCACCCCAAAGTCAACACAGCATCTAACACAACCTCCCCTCACATTTACCTTCTGAAAAGGATGTGACATCCCCACGCTTCCTCCTGACATCACAGTTGGCAGCAATTCCTCTCAGCTTTTATTTATCTGAAAAATGCCTTTATTTTGCCCTAATTTGTGAGGGAAATTGTGCATAGTGTCAGAGTCCAAGCTGGCAATTTGATTTCTTACCAGTGTCTGCTTCTGGCTTCCAAAGTTCCTGTTTGAGAAGACAGCCGTCATTCTGGGGGTTCCTGTTTGAGAAGACAGTCATCATCCTCGGGGTTCCTGTTTGAGAAGACAGCTGTCATCCTCGGGGTTCCTGTTTGAGGAGACAGCCATCATTCTGGGGGTTCCTGTTTGAGGAGACAGCCGTCATCCTCAGGGTTCCTGTTTGAGGAGACAGCCATCATTCTGGGGGTGCCTGTTTGAGGAGACAGCCGTCATCCTCAGGGTTCCTATTTGAGGAGACAGCCGTCATCCTTGGGGTTCCTGTTTGAGGAGACAGCCGTCATTCTCTTGGTTCCTATTAGAGGAGACAGCTGTCATTCTCGTGGTTCCTGTTTGAGGAGACAGCCGTCATCCTTGGGGTTCCTGTTTAAGGAGACAGCCGTCGTTCTCGGGGTTCCTGTTTGAGGAGACAGCCGTCGTTCTCAGGGTTCCTGTTTGAGGAGACAGCCGTCATTCTCTTGGTTCCTATTAGAGGAGACAGCTGTCATTCTCGTGGTTCCTGTTTGAGGAGACAGCCGTCGTTCTCAGGGTTCCTGTTTGAGAAGACAGCCGTCATCCTTGGGGTTCCTGTTTGAGGAGACAGCCGTCATCCCTGGGGTTCCTGTTTAAGGAGACAGCCGTCGTTCTCAGGGTTCCTGTTTAAGGAGACAGCCGTCGTTCTCGGGGTTCCCTAGTGCTAAGGTGTTTTTTTCTCCTGGCTACATCTAACAGTTTTCTCTTTTCCTTTAGTTTCAGCAGTTTGACTACGATGTGACTAAGTATGGCTTTCTTCAGCTTTATACTTCATGGAGTTCAATAAGCCTATTGAATCTGTGGGTTAATGCCTCTTATCAGTTTTGGAAAATTGGCTACTATACATAAAAATAATATTGCTCCTATCCCATTCTCACCCTTCTCCTGGGATTCCAATATACATGTTAGACAGTTGGATCAGTACCATATGGCCCTCTCCTCTGTGTGTGTGTGTGTGTGTGTGTGTGTGTGTGTGTGTGTGTGTATGTGTACTTTTAATTCTATTTTGTCTCTGTGCTTTATTTTGGATAATTTCTATGGACCTGTCTGAAATTTTATTAATCCTTTTTGCTACTGTATGTTTGGTCTGCTCTTAAGCCCATCCAATGAGTTCTTAATTTCAGGTATTATATTAATTGGTTAATATAATAATAAAAACTTATTTTTATTATTTATTTTTAATAACAGATAAGCACTTATTTTCATAGTTTCCATCTCTCTGTTGAAATTCTCCATCTTTTCATCCATTTTGTTCATCCTTTCCTCCATCTTATTTCATGTATTTACAACAGTATTGTAAAGCACTTGTCTGCTAATTCTTTCATCTGGGTTATCTGTGTGTCTGCTTCTATTGCATAGCTTATCTCTTGGTTGAAAATCACACTCTCGGCCAGGCGCGGTGGCTCAAGCCTGTAATCCCAGCACTTTGGGAGGCCGAGATGGGCGGATCACAAGGTCAGGAGATCGAGACCATCCTGGCTAACATGGTGAAACCCCGTCTCTACTAAAAAAAATACAAAAAACTAGCCGGGCAAGGTGGCGGGCGCCTGTAGTCCCAGCTACTCGGGAGGTTGAGGCAGGAGAATGGCGTGAACCTGGGAGGCAGAGCTTGCAGTGAGCTGAGATCCGGCCACTGCATTCCAGCCTGGGCGACAGAGCGAGACTCCATCTCAAATAAAAAAAAAAAAGAAAGAAAATCACACTCTCCTGTAATTCTTATAATTTGTGGTAGTGTACTAGAAATTATATGCAAAAGAACCAAGAAACATCAGTCTCTCCCTGCAGATAGAGCTCTGCCAATGACTAACCCGCCCTCAGCACCATTCAGCTCCACTGCGAGGAAGGGCCTCCCGAGACTGGCAGTTCCTTCAGATTTGTACCCATCACTTTCCAATGCATTTGAAAGCAGTGATAATTTTTGTACATAATTCCATTTCTTTCTCATTGTTGAGATAGAAAGGATGGCTTCACACTCTTTCCTCATGCTAACTGGAAGTGAAACTCTTGTCTTTTTGCATTATAAAATCTGGGAGTTATTTGTCATTATGACCCATTTTTTCATTTACATTATTCATCTGTGGATCTTTTTTCCTTATTCAGTCTTACCAGATATTTGTCTAATTTTTGTTCCTTCAAAGACACAGCCATAGCCATGTGATTTTACCTTGGTTTTCTGTTTTGTTAATAGGCATTCTCAGTCCTGTCTCTTTTCTTCAGTTGAGTTTCAAAATGCGGAGATTGGACCCTGAGCTTGCTAACTTCAGGCTTCCCACCGGTTTCCCCCAATAACTCCAGCATTGATTCCCTAAGAAAAAAGTCTCCCTCCTACTCACTAAATATCACTCTAATGGCTGAGAAAATTATTAATTCAAAAATAAGGCCAGGCATGGTGGCTCATGCCTGTAATCCCAGCACTTTGGTAGGCTGAGGAGGGTGGATCATTTGAGGCCAGGGGTTCGAGACCAGCCTGGGCAACATGATGAAACCTCGTCTCTACTAAAAATACAAAAAGTAGCCAGGCGTGATGGTGCACAACTGTACTCTCAGCTACTTGGGAAGCTGAGGCAGGAGAATCACTTGAGCTCGGGGGATAGAAGTTGCAGTGAGCCAAGATTGCACCACTGCACTCCAGCCTGGGCAAGAGAACAAGACTCCATCTTAAAAAAAAAAAAAAATTGACCTTTCTTATTTCCCAATGCAAATATGTACAGTTAGATTTTTTTTCTCAGGTACAGCTTTTGCTGCAGCCCAATAGTTTTGATAGTAGTATCTTAGTTTTAATCATTTCTAGGTATTTTAATTTCCAATATGACTTCTTCTTTAACTGTGGTTTATTAGAATAGTGGTTTTCAATCTTTTAATATGTGTGACTATGTCACTGATGCTTTTGTTAAGAACTTCTGTGCTGGGTCAGAGAATATTGTCAGCGTGGTAAATGTGCCAGTTTGAAAATGATAACAAAATCCTTGCTCACTGTTGCCTTGAAAAAAAAGAAAATAATAACAATCTGTACATTTAGAACAAAATGAAAGTACTGGGCTCTCTGGTTCAAGGGCTCCCTGGTGGCTGTGTGTTTGACTGATTTTGCAGCATTAACAAGAAGGGCTGTGCACCGTGGGGAGACCATTCAGGTCTAAACCTGATGTTTACTGACGTCACTAAACCCAAAGTCAGAAACGGAACACAATCGCACACACCTGTCCATCTAAGGAGAGCACCTGATGAATTGCTCAGGCATGGGGAGTGAGGAGCCAGAGTGTGAGGCCCCCACTGCTGACCCAGCTCTCTCTGCACCCTCATGCCTCTCTGGGGTGCCGCTGTCGTTCCTCCTGGAAGCCCTGTCAGCAGCAGAGAGGGGTCTCGCTGGGGACACCCAGACACCAGTCCCCAGATTAAGACAGGGCAAGGAGACGACCTGTTCCCAGGGAGAGCTGTGCATGGAGCCCCCAAGGCAGGGCCAGGAACTGGAGCATGAAAGAAGCCAAGGCACCAAAACTATGAACAGTCAAAAGGGCTAAAGCTCCACGGCCCTAAGAATTGACGCTCAAACCAGGGTTCCACATGGCAAGGGGAGGAGAAAGGCAAGCAAGTTACGACCTGAGCAGAGCCACGAGGGGCAACAAGAAACCTGCCAGGCCCCACACGTGTGCCTGGGGGCAAATGGTTAGGATCTGAGCTTCCCAACAGCCAAGGTGAAAAGGAAAAAGAGTCAGAGGTATAAGTGTAGCGGGAGCACAGTCATCTTCAGTTCAACAATTCAGCCTAGCATTCCATAGCAAGAGTGCAGGGACGGAGGCTGTGGGACTCATTCAGGACACCTCTCGGGGAGGCCTCTGGACATCGCGCCAAGATTCCCTCACTGGAAAAATTCCACGGTGTGTTTCTGTCCGTGCCTATGCCAGGGTTGGCGCACATACCCACAAAGCAGCTTCCTGGCACCCAGCTCTCGGACGGTGAATACAATAAGGGCAGGAAGGAAGGTCATCCACTTCATCTAAACAGGAAGCTCTCACATTTTCCTGATTGAGATCTATACTTTAAAAAGTTAAATAAATATATACACACCCAAAACACTGACACAGAAAACATTCACAGAACTTATTTACATACATTTATAACTGATCAACATATTTATAACAAAACATAAATATAAAATATGAAATAAAATATGAAACACTTACAATATATATTTGTATATCTAAAACATTATATACACATATATACACAAGCAAAAATATATAAACATAAATAAAACACTTTTTTATTTAATTACTTTCTTCATTAAAATATATGTGTCCTAATTGTGCATAATGTACCCTGATCTTTGTTATTCAGTTAAATTCTATTCTTTCATCTTCTAGAACATACAAACATGGTTCCTATTCGCCAGCTGGGTTTTATGACCCGGGTTCCTTGGACAGTGCTGCTCCCAGCTCCGCTCAGAAGCAGAGTGCAGGCTGAGGCTCCGCGCGGCTGCGCCGGGCTTGAATTCAGCCTTCTACCTATTACCTGGGTGATCCTGAATCAGGGCACCAACCATCCGGGTTTGCCCAGCACTGAGGGCTTCCCAGGTCGCAGGACTTTGGTGCTAAAATTGGGACATTGGTCCCCCATCAGGAAGCCATCTCCTCAGGTCTCTGTTCCATTTTATTATTTTTAGAATTGGACTCATCATGGTACCCACCTCCTAGGATTGAAGTCAGGCCAGAAATGAAGAATATTGATAGAATAAACACTCAGCAAATGTCACTGGGGCCTGTGGGCTGTGCTCCTACAGGCCTCTCTGCTGCCAGAGGGACACTGGCTCACACACCTGGACAGGTGTTGGAGTCTGGGGCCAGGGGACGGGGGCTCCTGACAGAGACCATCAGGAACAAGCAAGCCCTTAATGAGGTGGCCCTGCCTCTCCAGGGCAACTGCGGGACCAAGTCAGGGAACCGTGGAGGCAAAGACCCCAGAGCCGTGCCCCTCCCTCACAGCCACATCTTTGCTCTGGGCTGTTTTGAAGCCTGTCCACGAACTATGCTCATTCCAGGGGTGCCCCCAGGAACAGCAACAGCCTGTGCCTTCCGGGGAGCTGGAGTGATCCGTGATGGGGACAACTGCATGACCCAGCAAAGTATCCTGGGAACACCAGGCCTGCACCCGCCGCCCTGCTGACCACAGGCTGACTGACCCTTTCCCATCCCTGGCTACTCCCCGCCACCTCCAGGGGCTGCTGTGTCTGGGAGTTAATTCACCAAGGAGAGAAAAAACGAGGCCAGGAGCACAGCTGGATGCAGTACCGAGGAACTTGGTCAGCCCTGAGGAGGGCCAGTGCCTTCTCGTGGGCACTAAAAGCTGTGCGGCTCTGAGCACGGCCCTCTTGGCCGTGGCTGCTCCAACATCCCACCACCAGCCGCAGGCTCAGATGAGTATCTACAGACCCCTTAGCCACTTCCTTTGAGAACTGTGTATTCCTTCCAGCCTCTGACCTCCAACTGCCACCTGGACTCCTTTATTGCACGTGCCTCCAATGCCACTGTTCTTTTGATTGTTCTTTTTGATTTTTGACTTTGCAGATTTCACAGTGCCAGATTCATTCAAATCAATCACAGTGTGAATGGCAAATGAAAAAATGCACATGATAAACAAAGGGCATACGGCCCCTCCCCTCCAAACGACTTCCATCCCGTGCCCTCTAAACCCACCCCCAAAACAGCCCCGACCGACACACAGGCAGAAAGGGCTAGAGCATCAGAGGACAAAGGGAGCAGAGGACGCTGAGCCTGGTCAGGCAGGGGTCAGAGGGCAGGGCCCATCTGGGGCATCCCTAGAGCATGCACCAGGGGAAACAGGAACGGGACAGTCCTGCTGGGTGGGCCACTGCGTGGACGAAGGGGAAATGGCGCCACCTGCCTGCACACTCACTCTTGGGCCGGGTCGGCACCTTCTCTCCCAGCAGCTGTCACCCGAAGCCACAGCAGGGGAGGGGTTTGCTGGGCTGCAGTGCAGGAGAGGATGCCAGGCCCCTGGAGGTGGTGGGCAGCAGTCACGCTGGGGCCAGGGGCAGCCCTTCCCAACCACCTTATGGGTAGCAGTTACCCCTTTCTTCTTTCTGCCACTTACTTCCTGCAAGACCCCTTAGGGCAGGTGACTGGGCCGGTTCACTGCTGCAGACCCAGGGTCCAGCCCTGCCTTGTCATCACACATGCTCAAAAGGATGTGATTCAGGAAATGAAGGCAGGAAGGAGAAAAGAGTGAACCTGACACAGAGTGAAAACTGTGTGACCACCCGGGCTGGAGGGGAGAGCCTGGGGCTACCCCTTAGTGAGACAGCTTCAGGACACCGAGGTCCCAGGGAGGGGCTCCGTGGAGGAAAGTGGGTCGGTGGTCCTCCAGACTGAGGACAGCATTTCCTGACGTCGCTTGGGTCCAGCAGGGCCCTGTGCCCCCTGGTGAGGTGGGGGAGGGTGTGACAGTGCCTCTGGAGGGGAGAGCTGGGTGCCCACCAACCGCGATGTCCACGCTGTTGGGTTCCAGTGGCCCAGTGAGAACATGGGTCAACTCCCTTGGCTCCCGGGGATAAAAAAATAAACAACAACAACAACAGAATAAACGACAGGACAAAGGGAAGACTCCGTGTAGGAGGCAGATGAGTTTAGTGGGGAGGGGGCAGGTCTGCGCTGTGACGGGGCGGCCTAACACTCTGCATCCAGGACCTACATGGGTCCGGGCAGATGCTGCAAAATAAATTGGAACCACAGCCTCCGAGGGGCCCAGGGACGCTTAAGCACCCGGACAGACCCGGCTGGGCCCCAGCCTCACCTGTGAGAGGTGGAAGTGTGGGAGGACAGAGCTGGGAGGCAGCCTGCGCAGGAGCCGTTTTTCCAGGGCACCAGTCTTCAAAGGCCCGGACTCAGCCCCCTGCAGGTCCCAGAAACTTAGCAAGGGTTCTGGAGCAGCAGCCTCCAACCCCTGCGGCAGCTCCAGGCTCCTGTAAGGCTAAGCCCTGCTTTTCTCTGAGCCACTGAACGCGCCCGAGGGGCCCCTGGAGGCGTCTGCCCTTCTCCTCCCTTCTCCCCTCCTCCCAGGCCACCTCTGCCGGGGAAAGCCTCCAAGCACTCTAGAAAGAACGAAGATTCTGTGCCTGTGGCCTAACCATCCCCGCCGACCTCATTTGCCCTTCCTGGATCTATGCTCCTTCCTGGATCTGCCTGGCCAGCTCCGGGCCGCCCTGCCCTGGCCGCCTCCCGTTCCATCTCAGGTTGTCCAAACCTCACCTGCGCCCCAGGGTCCCTACTCCGCCTCCTCCCTCTTCCTCCTCCTCCGCCTTGAAGCCTCCTCCCTCCCCCGTCCGCGGCCAAATCCAGACCACTCCCGCCCCACCCCAGGGAAAGGGTCGTCCCGCCCTCCGCGCCCTCTGGGTCTCCCTCAGCCTCCGTGGGTCCCCGAGTCAGGAACCAAATCTGGCCCGACGTTCCCTACGGCGTGGAGCCCAGGGTCTGTGATTGGGGTTGAGGCTGGCCTTGGGGGGACCTGCAGGCGTCCCCCTCTCCCGGGTCTCGGGCTATTTTCCCCAGGAGGCGGCTGCAGGCAGACGCTGAGGCCCTCGGAACCCCGGAGCCGCCCCAGTGCAAGAGACCAGAGGAGGGGCTGGCCGGTCCAGCCCCTCGGTCCCAGGGCTGACTCCTCCTCCAGGGCGCAGATCCCCGCAGCCCGGCAGGAGAGAAGGTGCCTGGAGAGGGGTCCGGACTGTGGGCCGGGGGCTGGGATGAGGGTCGGGTGAGAATGGGGCTCCGAGGAGTTTAGAAAGAGAGATTGGAAGGGGGACCAAAGGCAGAGGGCCCAGGGAGAGGGGATGCGGGGAAGGGAGGAGAGCGAGCGCGGGAGCAGGACGCTGGGGGTCGGGGACGCCCTCGGTGAAGCCCCGCCAAGGAGTGCAGGAGGTTGGGGGTGGGGGGCGTCCTGGGTGAAGCCGAGTCCAGGAGCGCAGGAGGCTGGGGTGGGATGGGGGCTGCGCCCTGAGTGAAGCCCGGTTAGGGAGCAGGAAGCTGGGGAGGGGGCTCTCTGGGCGAAGTCCCCCGCAACACCCACCTCACCCCACTCAGGCTGAGCCCTCTGGCGTCATGGAGGGGCTCGTCCTAGCCCTGTGTGCCCTCCCGCTGGCTGCCGCGTCTGCTGTCTGCGCCACGATGCCAGGTAAGGAGCGGCCCTGACAGGGCTCGGGGCATCAGGGCTGGGGCTGGGGCTGGGGACCCTGGTCCACCGCGGCCCGCTTGCTGCCCACAGCTCGGAACCTGAGCTGCTACCAGTGCTTCAAGGTGAGCAGCTGGAGGCAGTGCCCGCCCACCGCGTGCAGCCCGCTGGACCAAGTCTGCATCTCCAACGAGGTGGTCGTCTCTTTTGGTGAGTCCCCCCTGGGGCAGAGGGCAGTTGCCGGGTGCCCCGCCTCTCAGCAACTCAGCTGATGCGTCCTCCAGGACCTGGGGACGTGTGGGTCCGACAGTGCCTCCTGCTCTCTCTCCCGCGCTGGGTTTGGGCGAGCATCCCAGAGTGTGAATTTTGACTTTTCTTTTTCTCCTCCATTTGAGGTGTCTCTAGGAACTGTCAGCAGGACAAAGGCTCTGATGTCACTGAATTTACGAAGACAGCAGGAACACACGGGGTGGGGAGAGGCAGCTGTTCGGGTGGATGGGTTATCCGCCCTTCCTGGCACAGCCCTACAGCCCAGCATGGGGCAGGCTGCACTGGAATCTAATACAGTGTATGACAGTGTCATAGAGTATAACACAACGTAATGAATATAACGTGTATACTGCAACTTAATATAATACGATACAATACAACATAATATAATAAAATAGAATGCAACACAACACGCCATAACATACTATGACACATAAAGGAGATTCCACCCAAGCTCTTTTCTCCACCATTTGGATTTTGAGTGTTGTACATCCCTTCAGGGGTTCCGTGGTTGTTGACAGACACGTGTCCATCAGAAAGTCTCTGCCATGTCTTTAAGTGAGCAGCAGAGCAAGGAGCCCAGGGCTGGGCACCCAGCCCAGCAGGTTTTCTGTGATGGGCAGCCCCTTTCCACTGCTCTGAGTCACCCCTTCTCCCCACGACGCACGCGCCCCCGGGCTGGCAGGGGTGGTCCAGGCTGTGCCTGGCTTCCAGGGAAAGCCCCTTACAGCCAGTTGCCCTGGAGTTTGTATTTGCTGTGCTGCAGGGCGGAGGTGGCCTGGGCAGCCAGGGTCCCCAGCTCTGCAGCGCCTTGCCCAGGAAAGGACAGGAGACGGTGGTCTCTTGGTCCCCCTCATAGGGCCAGATTCCTTGCTCTAGTTCTTCTGGGTCCCGGCTGCCCCTTTGGAAAGCATCCTTGCATTTTCCTGATAACTGTGGATACTTCCTTGCTGGGGGCTCTGGGGCCACCTGCCTCTCCTCTTTTCTGCAGAATGGAGTGTACACACCCTGCTCAGCAAACGCTGTGCTCCCAGATGTCCCAACACCAACACGAAGTTCGAATGGACGCCAGCCCCCACGGTGCAAGGCGTGATAACTAGGCGCTGCTGTTCCGGGGCTCTCTGCAACAGGGCACCAACCCCACAGGAGGGGCGCTGGGCCCTGCAAGGGGGGCTCCTGCTCCAGGTGGGCCTCGGCCTCCTCAGGGCCCTGTTGTGAGGGCCCTCCCTCTACACCCCCTCCTGGCCCTGCTGGCCCGTCCTGTCTCCTGCCTCCCACTGCCATCCTGTGTCCGCCCCTTCCGGGACACTGGGGGGGACCCTCCCTCTCTGAGGTGGTGGGGAAGGTGCCATTGCCTCCACCCTGGATCTAGCCACCTCGCTTCTCCCCCACAGGGGCCCCTTTGCTGGGGAACCCTGTGGATTCAGCAACTGCTCCTCCTGGGGAAGGACGGTGCCTCCGGTGTGGGTGGTGGGAAGGACGGCGCCTCTGGTGTTGGGTGATGGGGAAGGACGGCACCTCTGGTGTTGGGTGATGGGGAAGGACGGCGCCTCTGGTGTTGGGTGATGGGGAAGGACGGCGCCTCTGGTGTTGGGTGATGGGGAAGGACGGCGCCTCTGGTGTTGGGTGATGGGGAAGGATGGTGCCTCTGGTGTTGGGTGATGGGGAAGGACGGTGTCTCTGGTGGACGATGGCCCCTTGCATGAGGCCCCTTGCCCTGAATGCTGTCCAGGACCCCTCGAGGGGCAGGAGAGCCCGGGTGCGGCCACAGCTGGGGCTCCCCCTCTGCCCAAGGGAAACCCAGGAAGGATAACACTGTGGGTGCCCCCACCCGTCCATTGGGACTATGACCTTCACCCTCTTGGAGATAATAAACTCTCATGCTCCATGGTGCTCATTCCTTCCTGCTCCTTCCCGTCCCACCTGCCCAGTCCTCAGCAAAGGGCTCTGTGGGTTGGTACCGGCGGCCACTGGAGCAGCCAGATCTGCAAAAAACCTTCCAGCTGGGAGGTTGAGGATAGGGACTGTCCCTGCAGCCTAGGGCCCAGCAGTGGGTAAGCAGTATGTCACAGGCTCGGGGCTGGGATCCTAGAAGGGCTGGGGCCCCTGAATGGAGGTGGGGATGAGCCTGGAGAAAGGGGTCTGTGGCATGTGACCAGGGTTGGGGTGCCCGTCTGAGCAGCCACAGTAGGATAACAGGAGGTCAGGACTGATGGACAGTGCCAGCAAGGGGAGGGTAGGAATGGGAGGGCTGCCAGGTGAGGCACGGGTAATGGGCAGCCTGGGGCAGAGGGGACCAATGCCGAGTTCAGGACTGGCCAGGCTAAGCAGGGCACCATGGGACATCCTGGAGCTGTCCTAGGGCAGGGGTGGCTGAGAAGGAGGCCTTCTGCATCGGGAAGGAGGTGGCCTCACCAGGTAGCAAAGCCCCAGATGAAGGACAATGCTGGGTCTGCCACCTGCTGCCCAAGGGCAGGTCTTCACAGCACCCCTGCAGCCTGCACCCCTGCGCCTGTGCACTGCACCCCCCGCTGTCCTCCAGCCAGTCAATGTTGCCCCTGTGGACCCAGGTGGCCATGGCAGCCCCCTCAGGTAGAGGCCCTGGATCCCCTGTCCTCGGCAGGCTGCAGGCTCTCCAGAGAAGGGTCCTCGGGTTCCCAGGCAGAGCAGGACCTGCTCCCCTCCTCTTGAGGTTATGAATTATCGGCTGAATTCCAACCCTGCTGGCTAGGGCAGATCCTCAGGGCAGGGCACCTGGTGCTCCTCGTAACGTCAGGAATCTGGCATCCGACGCCTTGGGGCAGCCAGCAAGACCAGTGCTGGGAGGAGATTCCCCAGGACCCTGGCCCGAAAGCTTCTGTTTTTCTGCACAGGAAGGCACTGGGAAGTGATCTGGCCGCAGTGAGAGTGGCGGTGCAGGTCTTCCCTGATGCATTTTCCCAGGAAATATGTGTGAATCTAATCTGGGCACCTGTGCTGGGGTCAGGGGCCTATGGCCCCCCTCCCCACAGCCACTGGACCAGCCACTCTTGTGCCTTTGAGAGCTGGGGGCTTTGGCCTCTCTGGACAGGAGGACGGGAACCACAATTCCTTCAGGGCGCCTGCTCAGCTGGAACTCAGAAACATTGCATAATACATTGATTTTTTAAAAAATTATTATCTGAGACAAGGTCTTGCTCTGTTGCCCAGGTTGGAGTGCAGTGGCACAATCCTAGCTCAGTGCAGCCTTGATTTCCCAGGCTCAAACGATCCTCCCACATCACCCTCCTGAGTAGCTAGGACCACAGGCGCGAGCCACCACTCCAGCTCATTTTTATGTTTTGTGGAAACAGAGTCTCACTGTATTGCTCAGGCTGGTCTTGAACTCCTGGCCTCAAGTGATCCTTCTGCCTCGACCTCCCAAAATGCTGGGATTACAGGTGTGTGCCACCACAGTTTGTCTGAATAAATGGATTTTTTAAAAAGAGGATGAAGGAAGGAAAGATGAAGATGACTGAATGCTTCAGAGATTAATGAGAAAAGACTCCTCGAGTGGTAAATAAATGCTTGCTGAGGGTGAGCACATAAGACTGGGAAGTGGTCACAGAAGGGACAGTCAGGGTGGATGAGGAGGGCGGTGCATGCCTTCCCGCACCACTGCTTCTCTCCTGGCCCTCAGTTTCCCTGTCCTTCTGACCTGAGAAAATTCTGAGCCACTGTTCTAGTCTCTCCAGGGCAGTGGGGCCCCCCCTGTTACCTGGGGAACCTGAGCCATCTGTGTTCCCCACAGGCGGCGATCAGACCGGGGGCTGAGCCTCCAACAGGGGGATGGGGCAGGGCAGGGGACCTTGAGAACATGCAGGCAGGTGGCCCAGCACCACCTGTACAAGGGAGAGGTACGGGGCAGGCAGCCAGGCCGGCCAAACGCTCAGGAGTGTGCGGCAACGCATAAAAACCAAAGCAGCCAGAATCCATATTTTTCCATATCGTAAGAATAATGGCAGGCCAGGCACAGTGGTTCATGCCTGTGATCCCAGCATTTTGGGAAGCCGAGGTGGGCAGATCGCCTGAGGTCAGGAGTTCGAGACCAGCCTGGCCAACATGGTGAAACACTGTCTCTACTAAAAATACAAAAATTAGTCAGGTGTGGTGTTGGGCACCTGTAATCCCAGCTACTCGGGGGGCTGAGGCAGGAGAATCGCTTGAACTGGGGAGACAGAAGTTGCAGTGGGCCAAGATCACGCCACCTCACTCTAGCCTGGGTGACAGAGAGGGACTCCATTTCAAAAAGAAGAATGGCAAAAAAAAAAAAAAAAAAAAAATTCACTCTTTGTGCCTTAAAGTTCCGTGGGTTTTGATAAATGCACAGTGTCCGGTGCCATCGCTGCTGTGTCTAGTGGGATACTTTCACGGCTGGAGAGAAATCCCCTGTGCTCTCCCTCGTCATCCCTCCCTCCCCCTGAACCCCAGCAACCACTGATTCTTTCCCTGACTCCAGTTTTCCTTTTTCCAGAATGACCTGTGGTTGGAAACACACAGTGTGGAGCATTTTCAGATTAGCTTCTTTCACTTAGCGATGTGCGTTTACAGTTCCTCCATGTCTTCTCATGGCTAGTTACCTTATCTCTTTTTATCCCTGAATAATATTCCACCGTCTTCATGTAGCACTATTTGTTTATCCACTCACTTATCAAAAGACATCTTGTTGCTTCCAAGCATCGGCAATTATGAACAAGCTACGGTAAACGTCCACATTCAGGTTCTTATGTGGACGTCAGTCTTCAGCCCCTCTGGTTAAATGCCACGGAGCACAATTGCCAGAGCTGCCGGGAAGCCTCTGTGTAGCTGTGTGAGAAACTTCACACCTGTCTTCCATGGCTGTTGCAGGAAGTCAGGGACCCCGAACGGAGGGACCGGCTGAAGCCATGGCAGAAGAACATAAATTGTGGAGATTTCATGGACATTTATCCCTTCCCCATAATCAATACTCTTGTGATTTCCTATGCCTGTCTTTAATCTCTTAATCCTGTCATCTTCATAAGCTGAGGATGAATGTCACCTGAGGAGCCTGTGATGACTGCGTTAACTGCACACATTGTAGAGCATGTGTATTTGAATAATACGAAATCTGGCACCTTAAGAACAGGATAACAGTGATGTTCAGGGAACAAGGGAGATAACCTTAAAGTCTGGCTGCCTGTGGGCGAGCAGGATAGAGCCATATTTCTCTTATAACCAAAAACGGGTAAGACAAATATCACTGAATGCTTTCCCCAGCAAGGAATATTAATTAACAGCCCTGGGAAAAGAATGCATTCCTAGGGGAGGCCTCTGAAATGGCCACTCTGGGGGTGTCTGCCTTATGCAGACGTAGATAGGGATGAAACACACCTTAGTCTCCTGCAGCTCCCCCAGACTTGCTAGCATTAGGAAATTCCCACCTGGCGAATTCTAGTCAGGCCAGTTTTCTGCTCTTGAACCTTGTTGATCAATGACAATGTGTTCACAACTGGACATGGAAGTTCATTAGTGATTCGAGTTTCGCCATGACCTTCTGCCTTGTGATCTTTTGTCGCCCTTGCAGCATGTGATCTCTGTGACCCACAACCTATTCATACACTCCCTCCCTTTTGAAAATCACTAATAAAAACTTGCTGGTTTTATGGCAGGGGGGCATCACGGAACCTGCCAACATGTGATGTCTCCCCCAGACAGCCAGCTTTAAAGTTTCTCTCTTTCATACTCTTTCCCTTTATTTCTCAGACCAACTGACACTTAGGAAAATAGGAAAGAACCTACGTGTATCAGGGGAAAATTTCCCCCAATACACGGCGGCCACACCACTTTGCACCCTCACCAGCAATGACAGGGAGTGCCCATCACTCTGCATCCCAGCCAGAAACTGATATTGTTGATATTGTCAATGTTCTGGATTTCAGCCACTTAAAAAGCGGTGCTGGTGTCTTATAGGTGTCTTCGTTTGCAATTCCCTATTCCCTGAGCCTTGTTCCATCTGCTTACTTGCCAGTGGTGTATCTTTGGTAAGGTGTCTGGTCAGATGCTTTCTTAATTTTTTATGTTCTTATTGAGTTTTGTTTTGTTTTTTTAAAAAATACAGACAGGGTCTTCCTAAGTTGCCCAGGCTGGTCTCAAACCCTTGGACTCAAGGAATCTGCCTGCCTCAGGCTCCCAAAATGCTGGGATTACACTTTGGGAGCCTGAGGTGGGCAGATTCTTTGAGCCCAAGAGAAACAGGTTGAGCCACCATGCCCAACCTCTTTGTCGATTTTTTTAATCAATTTTTTTTAATTTTAGAGATTATGTTTTCAATGTTGTATCTAAAAACTCATCACCAAACCCAGGGTCACATCGATTTTCTCCTGCATTTTCTTCTAGGAGGTTTATAGTTTTGCATTTTGCATTCAGGCCTATGGTCCTTTTTAGTTAGTTTTTGTGAAAGGTATAAGATTTGTGTCTGGGTTAGTTTTTTGTTTTGTTTTGTTTTTGTATGTGGATTTTCAATTTTAACACATCATTTTTTATATACAAATTTATTTTTAAAAATAACAACTGCAGCAACATCGATAATCAATCACCCATCCTCCCCCTACTGATAGGGGAAAAAACCTTCTATACAGTTGAGTAACAAAGGAAAATCAAGACCTTTTATCAGACACCCTACAGCCAGAAATGGCGATGCTGTCCCCAGGGGGGCAGACCCGACACATTCAATGTCCCAGGTTAACACACCAGCCCATAGTGTAGACCTGACATGTAACACACCAGCCCAGTGGTGTAGACCTGACACATTCAATGTCTCAGGTTAACACACCAGCCCATAGTGTAGACCTGACATGTTCAATGTCCCAGGGTAACACACCCACCCAGTAGTGTAGACCTGACACATTCAATGT